TTTAATCCATATCAAGTCCCTGTTAAAGAAGAACTAGTAATTCTAATGTACCCCGTAGGAACTGAGATTCAGCGTGTGGAGTTGCATATCAAGGTCATACAGCCAGTCCTTTCTCAGCTGGGTTTCAAAGTCAGATGCCTGGCCCATGCCAGGTGTATTGTTCTATGAGCTTAAAATGCAATGCAGTTTTCTTATTTATAGTACTGTCTTAAAGGTCTTTAAGATTAGTAGTGTCACTATCCCACAGTGACCAGGTCCCATGGTGCATTCTGGACTGATACATGTTCCCCCAGCTGATGTACAGAGGAATAGGTCTCAGGCTGGTGGCTGGCAACCTTTTTTTTATTATTGGCATCGGCCAGTACTTATGTAGAAAAAGAGAACCATCTTCATAAGGGTAGGGAGACAGGGATTAGCTTGGGTTTTATTGAACATAAATATAAACATGGGTTTGGTTCAAAATAAATATAAACAGATGTAAAGCGCTTCCTTCAGGGGAAATTCTTCTAGGAGATCTACCCAGGAGCAGCTCTCCTGGGGGCTCCAGCCTTCTGAATTGTGGTTCAGAAGTAGTCTAACTGGAAGGGAAAATAACCACAGAATTCCTTAGAAAATTCCTTTAATATGCTGTCAGAAGAATGTGGATCTCTTTTTTCTCAAAATAAATTTTTTTCTAAAAGTCATACAGTCATATTACTGTTTGCAGCTGCATCCTGGCCTGAGGGCCTTCTGTAAGCTTCATTTTCAAAGACATGCTCTTTCAAAACTTTTTTCACCCTCAGCTTCAAAATGCATGTGAAGCTAAGTGGCAGAGTCAGGGAGGCACCATCCAGCTAGGACAAGCCTGACTAAGTCCATGAACAGGATAATGGAAATCATAAAAGGAGGGCAGGTAAGAGGGGATGAGTTGCTATGAGATATTAAAGAGTAAAAATATGGGGCTGGAGTGATAGCACAGTGGATAGGGCATTTGCCTTGCAAGCGGCTGACCGGATTCAATTCCCAGCATCCCATATGGTCCCCTGAGCACTGCTAGAAGTAATTCCTGAGTGCATAAGCCAGGAGTAACCCCTGTGCATTGCCAGGTGTGACCCAAAAAGAAAAAAAAAAAAAAAAAAGTAAAAATACTCAAAGCGATGTGGTAAACATATGCAATGGAATACTACTCAGCTATAAGAAAAGATGAAGTCATGCAATTTTTTTTAATAATTTATTTATTTATTGAATCACTGTGGGAAAAGTTACAGAGCTTTCGGGTTTAGGTCTCAGTCATGTAGATACCGAACACATTTCCCTTTACCAATACTCATTTTTAACCCCGAACCCCAATAGACCCCCACCTCCCACCCCTCCCAATTCTTGTGAGGCAGATGAGTTCTAGTTAATACTCTATCTACTTTGACTAGATAGATTATTTCGATAGAAGATGCACAATTATTGTTTAGAGTTTACGACCCCCCCCCCAATCAGATATGCTGAAACAGCGTTGTGAAATGATTTGCTTTCTACAACTTGGTTTAAGAATAAAATGATGTCTATCACGGCCGCGCGGTTTTGAATTTCTGCTATTTTACTTATTGACCCTGGAAGAATTTCTATTAAAAGTTAGCTAGTTAAGAGATTGGTTTCTGTGCCCTGGAGTCGTGGCCGTGCCGGAGAGCCGCTCGTGGGGGGCAGCTGGCGACCTCGGTGGGGCGTGGGGGACGGCCCACAAAGCCCCCCTTCCCATGAGGTCCCCGCCGCTCCCCCGAGCCCGGCTCAAACCTGCTTTCCACAAGGCTCCCGTGCGGCCGCCATCTTTCTTTCCAGAGAGGAGCGGGCGGGCCGGTCAACGCCCTTCCCCCTCCGGGCAGGCTTGGTGGCGCGGATCAACACAAGTCCATTTGCTTTTCTGCTCCAAGCGGCTGGTTCTCTGTGCTAAGTCCTTGTGCCTCCGGGGCCGTGGCCGTGCCGGAGAGCCGCTCGTGGGGGGCAGCTGGCGACCCCGGTGGGGCGTGGGGGACGGCCCACAAAGCCCCCCTTCCCCTGAGGTCCCCGCCGCTCCCCCGAGCCCGGCTCAAACCTGCTTTCCACAAGGCTCCCGTGCGGCCGCCATCTTTCTTTCCAGAGAGGAGCCGAAGTCATGCAATTTTATGCCACATGGATAGATCTGGAGAATATCATGCTGACTGAAATCAACCAGAAGGAGAGATACAGATGCAGAATGATATCTCTCATATGTGGAATATAGAGACACATAGTAAGGGAATAACAATGTCAAAAGGCAACAGAACCTGAGAACTGGTCTAAAGAACTAAGCATACCAGGTTGGAGTGGGGTGAAGAAGAGATAGGTTGAAGGGGTGGGGTGGGGTGCACTGTTGAGTGTGTGTTGTTGAGACACTGTCTGCAAGAAACCATGTCATGAACAGTGTTGTAAATCAAAGTGCCTAAAATGAAATTTGAGAAAAGACCCAATATATTCTAGTGTACCTCATTTGAAAGGGTTAAAACATTAATATTAAAACATTTATATTAGCAACAACAAGCCCTAGTTTTAGGGGAGAGCATTCAGTGTCCTTGGGGGCCTATGAGTCTGACGTACCTTGTAGGATCCTAAAAATTTGAGTATATAACTTGGGAGTTGGTTTGACCACAGAGATAGATATCAAAATTGTCCATGTAAAGTGATTGCTAACTGAAAATAAAGGAATGTTTAAGTATGAGAGCAAAAGAGGACGTTGGTGTCACAATTGAGTTTTATATTAGAGAAACAAAAGATTTGAGTTGGTGACCTTGAGTGACTTGAACTAGTTTAGATAAGGCTCAGCAACGGCTCACTAATTGACTTCACCTTTTAACCATAGTGGTTAAAGGGCAGGTTTTCAGGTAACTGGTGAGCAGGACAGTTTCCCTTTGCCCTTCCAGATTTACCATCCATCCCATTTCTGTCCTCTTCCATTTCTTGGGAGAACATGTATAGGTTGCATCAACTAACTGGCTGCCCCAAATGTGAACATTTGACATTGATGGGACTTACAGGCAGAAGGAGTTAAGTATGATGTATTTACTTCCTTGACTCTTACTATTAGAGCACATGAATTGGGAGCTTACCTTTATCATTGATTTATAACAGTGACTTTTGAAGGTTCCAGAGCTGCCCTCTCCTTTGACCTTTCAGGCTTAGAGGTAGTAATATTTCCAAATATTACTAGCCCGGAGGGACTCTACTCGGTTTGTTAGGGTTTATGAACACCCCTCACACCTTTATAAATAATGTCTTTGTTGAAATTGCCCCTATTTCCCACTTCCTACTGGAACCTTAATAAAGAGCATGTCTAGTAAACCAAAAGGAATCTATGTTCTACAAGACACTAGCTCTAGTTCTACTTTTAATAAGCAGATCTGATCTAGGAGTCTCAGACCTAGGGGAGGAATTAGCACAAGGTGTGTCTATTGTCTATCCATATTTATGTCCATATCATGTGGACCTTACTACTTGATCAGTAGTAAACTTGTAATTAGTAAATTACACTGGATTAGTAATCTAACACCAAGATTAGTGAATTATTGAATATCATTCTCTATCTGCAATATATTATTACCATAGTTTTTCAAATTTATAATTGCCTTGGTGAGTCCTAAAAATTATTTGAAAATTCCATAAAAATTAACTTTAACATTTATCTTTGTAGATTTTCTTAATTAACTTACGTTAAATATGCATATTCAGAGATATTTTAAAATGTGTAATATGTACTCAATACTCAAAGTTGGGATCTTATTCTGTTCAAAGCTCACCAAACTATTCCTTGGGTCCCAAACTAGAAACAAGTGTAATGAACTGGCTCGGTTCTGATCACTGCTATCAGGATCAAGACAAAGATAACTGCCCACATCTTGAAAATTATCTTTGTAAAATCATTGTAATGCCTTGACTCCCAGGAAGAAGTTCAGGTCGTTGGACTTGCACTAAAGAGTACACCGCCTTCTCAAACTTGGCAACACCTTGTCCTTTGTGTGACCTCCCATGGCTCGGGCAGGGAACAGACTCTACAGAGCGCAAAAATAAACATCTCTGAGGGCTGTGGAATGTGATGGCCTATGTGGTGTGGGCCAGACAGTGGGCCTGCTGCCAGGCTCTGTAGGTGAGCTTCCCAGCAGCCCATGCTGGGCTTTAGCCCACTGCAAAACTGCAAAAGCAAGAAGAGAGGACCACCTGGCAGTGAAGTTCTGTCTCCAGATTTGGACTGGTCAGGGGCCTGGGTCTGCACAGGCTTTATGTGCTCACGTACGTCATGAGGTTTAGTCGCTTAGGACTATTACCAGATGCTCGGAAGGCTGATAAAACCAAGTTAAAAGAACAAGGAAAGATTTGCATTCTCTCTCTCTCTCTCTCTCTCTCTCTCTCTCTCTCTCTCTCTCTCTCTATCCCTCCCTTTATATGTTTGTTTAGTTTCTTCTTACCTTCATCCATTCCTTGCTCCCTCGCTCCTTTTCTTCTCTCCTTCCTTTCCACTTCCTTCCTCCCTATGACAGGTTCATACTTCTTCAAATCTTTGTTTTCACATACCACCACCCCACACACACACACACCACAACAAACTAGGTAATTTCTCACCACCCCCTTCCTTGAACGAGTTGTTCTCTTCTCTGTGTGATTTGAAGAACTGTCTGAAATTAGGAAGCTGGGGGGTGTTTAGTCATTAAATATGTATGACAGGACTGTCCTTCTTGCACTGTCCTCAGGACTTCGGACAGGGCAGTGGATGCAAGAGCCAAGGGTTAGTCCCCTCGAAGAGCCCTTACGCTGCTGGACCCCTCTGCCTACTTGCTTTTTCTTCACTCTCTGTCGGTGTTGTGAAGTTAACCCACTCTCTGAGGTGGGTTAACTTCTGGCCAACTAAATAGCTGACTCCCTGCCCATCCCGTTTCAGAAAGCTGGAGGTCTCATGATTACAGAGGGAGGAAGATAGGGTATAGACAGGCCATGCTATTCTTCAATCAAGCGCTCCTGCCAACCAACAAAAGACTCTGAAATATATCTCAGCCCCCAAGTTTCTTCTCTGCAGTCAAGAAGGCTCTGATAGAACTTCAGTGAGTCTAATAATTCCCTAGCTTCAAGAGTGAAAGCTGAAAAATTCCACAAGAACACCAAGTTAGGCATAAAAATATAGTGATCAGACAACGTGGTTATTAGGCATATATTTACAGTGTGCTAGAGATTGGGCTATTGAGCTGAATGCTTTGTGCAGACGTATTAACAGAGAGCGCCTTATCTCAGCCCTATAATTTCTTTTACAAGCAATCTCAAATAGAGAAAATAATTCTATCATTTCAAAAAGTATAATTAGAGACAAACAACTGGTTATGAATTGCTCTGTAAACAAACAAACTATTAAACTCAAAAGTAAGCATTTATTTGATGTTGCCTAGAATCAGTAGCCGTGCGGTTTAGCAGCTGATAGGATTGGAAAGAATCTTATTTCTACTCTGGCCTCTTATGAGAATCACAAATTGTACCTCTTTCTTTCTTTCTTTTTTTCTTTCTTTCTTTCTTTCTCTCTTTCTCTCTTTCTTTCTTTCTCTTTCTTTTTCTCTCTTTCTTCCCTCCTTCTCTCCTTCCCTCCTTCTCTCCTTTCCTCCTTCTTTCCTTCCCTCCTTCATTCCTTCATTCCTTCCCTCCCTCCCTCCTTCCCTCCCTCCCTCCCTCCCTCCCTTCCTCCCTCCCTCCTTCCTTCCTTTCTTCCTTCCTTCTTTCCTTCCTTCCTTGGGATGGGCTCCCCTGAGTACTCCAGGCTCTGCGCTCAGAAATTACTCCCGGAGGGTACTCAGGGAAACATATGGGATGCCGGGAATCAAACCTGGGATGGCCACGTGCAAGGCAATTGTCTTACCCACTGTACTGGTCCCACAAGTTGTACCTTTTTCTCCATTTCCTTAGACCAAGTATCTATAGATCACTCCACTGCTTTATTCTTGATGCTTAGGTATAGTATTCCTAGCCCTCATGTCACACATAATGTAGAAACTTCAGCAGTTTATTTAGCAAAGGTCATTGTTGAAGTTTTGTGCCCAAAGGTCCCTGACAGACATCCAAAACTTTCTAGTTGAAGTCAGTAATTATTTACCAGGATCTGTTGGAGAACAAAGCAGAGAGAAGCAAAAAGTTGGGGAGAGGAAATCACTAATCTGTGTACCTAAGAACAATATTATTTTTTCTTAGCATATTTGTAATATCATTGAGCAACAAAAATAAATAAAACCTTTTACATTAGAAGGCATCTTAAGACTCAGAGACTCCAAGTGGAAAAAGTAATTGATCTTTGGGGCCGAGACAATACAAATCCAAGTAGAGAGCAAAGGGGGTTCTTCAACTTCCATCACTGGTGAGTTCTTTTTATTTATTTTTGGGGAGAGGCACACCCAGCTGTGTTAGGGCCTACTCCTGGTTTTGTGTTCAAGTATCACTCCTGACAGACTCAGGAAACCATATGGGATGCATGGCATGGGATAGAAGTCAGGAACTCTGGAATCAGCTAGAGCACTTTGCTACACCATATAAAGACTACATTAGGCTGGAGTGATAGCATAGTGGGGTGGGCGTTTGCCTTGCACACAGCTGACCTGGGTTCAATTCCCAGCATCCCATATGGTCCCTTGAGCACCTCCAGGAATAATTCCTGAGTGCATGAGCCAGGAGTAACCTCTATGCATCACCGGGTGTGACCCAAAAAAGCAAAAAAAAAAAAAAAAAATTAAACTATTCAAATTCTTGGCACCAGGGAGATAGGGCTGACGGGCTGACTTGAATGTGTCACCTGCCAGGAGTGACCCCGAGCACCAAACCCCAAAATAAATAAAATATTTGAGTGTCTCCAGTGCACATGATATCACTCCTCTGTAATGTCCAGTCAGTAGCCAGGCTGATCAGAGTGGTCTTGGATTCTGGGGTAGGGCAGAACCAAACAGTTATTCTAGTTTAGAGGGAATGAGAGCAAGTCCAGTGACTGGGAGGAAAGTAGCTTCCTCTTCCACAAAAGGCTTACATTTCACCCAACAGTTAGCAAACAGATGTTCAACACGTCTGGCATAAAAAGTGGAATATGAAGGAGATTGACATAAAGATTTCCACTAGGAGGGAACTTGGAGGCAGCAAAGAGCAACAAGGAGAAAGAGATTAAGACCAAGAGCTTCCCATTGCCTCTTTTGCAAACCACAACACCCAAAAGGAAAGAGAGAACAAAAGGGAATGCCCTGCCACAAAGGCAGGGGGAGATGGGGGACTTAGGGGATGGGAGGGGTTCTGGGATCCATGGTGGTGGAAAATGGGCACTGGTGGAGGGATGGGTATTTGATCATTGTATAATTGAAACCCAAGCACAAAAATTTGTAAGTCTACAACTGTACCTCATGGTGTTTCACTAATAAAAATTAAAAAAAAAAAAAAAGACCAAGAGCTTCCAATCCCTGAACACTTTAGTTTGAGCTTCAAAGCCAGGGCGAGGTTCTGTCTTGCAGTTAGACTACTTTTTATTTAAATCTGTGAAACAAAAATTATGATGCCTTCTTCACATGGTTGGGATGAAGATTAAAATAGGAGAATAGGTACAGTAGAGAATTTAGTTTTATTTGTTTTGTTTAGTTCTGGGACCACACCAGCAATACTCCTGGTGCTGTACTCAGGAGTCACTCCTGGTGGTATTTGGGGAACCATAAGGGATGCTGGGGGTCAAATCCGGATCATCTGCATGCAAGGCACATACCTCACCCACTGTACTATCTCTCTAGCTCCACAGTAGAGAATTTAGAAGCTGGTGGTGAGCTGCCACTAATAGTAGCTATTCCTGTTATTTCACGGCATATTTTTTGGCCCAGGGAGCCAGGAAATTGATCCCTAAGGTACTGACTGGAACCTACGTGATGAGAACACTTTTCTTCCGGCTGAACACCATCTCAATAAAAACAGGTTATGCTGAATACTCTTCATTTCCTAGTTGTAATGTTAATTTTCTCATGTTTTTATTTTACTTTGCTTTATTTGGGGTCGTTTTCACCTGTTCCCAAGACTTACTCCTGGCTCTGCACTCAAAAATCACTCCTGCTGGGCCTCAGGTGACCATGTGTGGTGGCAGGAAATGAACACATGCAAGGCAAGCACCCTACCGCTGTACGATTGCTCCAGGCCCTGTGTTTTAACTGATGATTTTACCCTTCTGATGAATAAAGTGACCCTCAGATTTGGTTTGGTTTTGGAGTTTGGGCCCCATCCAGTGGTGTTGGAGGGCTCTCCTGGTGGCTACTGGGAACTGATCATGCAGTGCCAGGTATTGAACCCTGGGCTGCTGCATGCAAAACATGTACTTGGTCTGTTAAGCGATCTTCATGACTACTTTCATAGGTCTTTAGTAGAACCAAAGTGCTCAGGGCTTACTCCTGGCTCTGTACTCAGAGATCACTCCTGATAGGGTTCTGGGGACCATCTGTGGTACTGATGATTGAACCCTGGTTAGCTGCATGACAAGCGCCCCATCCACCGAACTATCACTCTGGGCCCATTTTTTTATGCCTTTTTTAAAAAAAAAAAAACTTTTATGATTTATTTTTGTCTTTTGGGTCACACCTGGCGGTGCTCAGGGATTACTCCTGACTCTGCACTCAGAGTCATTCCTGTTATTCCTGGCAGTGCTTAGGGAACCATATGGAATGCCAGGGATCGAACCGGGGTCAGCTGCATGCAAGGAGAACGCCCTCCCCACTGTACTATCATTCCAGCCCCTGGCCGTTATTTTTAACATTTGACTTGGTGAGGTTCTCTTAAGTGAAAGCACAACTTCTCATTTATAAGACACTCTGATAGAGCTCTTATCTGTACTCCACCCCCTTCCCTCTCAGCTTGGGGGTGGTGAAAAAGTCAGGAGATTCTGATGTGTATCATTAAACAGTTTAGTGGTGAGGAGATAAAGAGTGATAACAGCAGTATGCTTGATAAGGTTCTGGAAAGAAATGTGCAGACTATAAAATGGAGATTACTCTGAGGAAAAAGGGATTGGTGGAGACAAAGCAGAAAATATAGAAAAATTATGTGGCAAAGTGAGTACAAAAGGAATCTGAAGATAAAAGAAACAGAGGCTGGAGTGGTAGTACAGTCTGTAGAGCATTTGCTTTGCATGCGGCCCACCCGGGTTCAATTCTGGCATCCCACATGGTCCCCTGAGCAATGCCAGGGGTGATTCCTAATTGTCTGCCATGGAGGCAGGGGGAGGGTTGGAAAGAGGGGGTCTACTGGGGACATTGGTGGTGGAGAATGTGCACTGGTGGAGGGATGGGTGTTTGATCATTGTATGATTGAAACTCAAACATGAAGCTTGTAACTTATCTCATGATGATTCAATAAAAAAAAAAAGTGATTCCTGAGTGCAGAGCCAGGTAGTAACCCCTGAGCATCGCCAGGTATGACCCTTTGTATCACTTGTATCACTTGTCATCCCGTTGCTCATCGATTTGCTGGAGCGGGTGCCAGTAACATCTCCATTTGTCCCTATCACATGCTATTGTAGCCCAGTGGTATCTGCTCGCTCCAGGAACACGAAGAGCCTCAAACCGATCGTTCAGGGTCTTGACAAAGAAGTCTGACCATCTCATAGGTGGGTGGCCAGGCGTTCTTTTGACGTTTCATGAAATCCGGTCAGTAACGGCTAATCCAGCGGTCATCTCCAAATTGCATTACGTGTCTGGCCCATCTGATTTTGGATGCCTTCGCAAACGAGGCAGTGTCCCTGATCCTCGATCATAGACGGAGGTCAGAACTCTGGATCCCTTTTATCGCTTGAGTGAAGCATGATACTCGAAGGATAGCTCTTTCAATTTCTCTTTGGGAGACCCAAATAGCGCTCTCATCCTGTTTTCATAGGGACCAGTTCTCTTCTTCAGGTGTGACCCCAAAAGCCAATAAATAAATAAAATTTTAAAAAAAGAAGAAGATAAAGGAAACTCATAACATCATAGGATAGGTGGGAGTGGTATAATGGGCTAGTAATAAGGTTGATATTTGTTTAGCAAAGGCAATAACCATATATCTGGGCTGATTATGGGTGCCTAAAAAGATTACGGCTAAGGATACACACACTTTCACTGTGAGAAAGATTAAAATTATCTCTGTACTTCCTTCTTGTTATAGAAGTAAAAGATCTTTAGATGGAACACCTTAAGGAAACAAATGGTGTAGCCCAAAAAATACCTTCCTATTACCCAGGTAATCACTGATTCCACTGGAAGTGTTCTCTAGAGAGTTGCAGTAAGACTGAGACTTGCTCATAAAGCAACACAGATCTGAGGAAAATTGCAGCTTCTTTGTTCCTATAATCAATTTAAACTTCTTTATAAATCTCGGTAAAGGCAAGAGAGGGGCATTCATTTTGCTAAAAGAATCTTTGTCTAGCATCAAATTGTTATTTTTCCCTCCTATGTTTTCTTTAAAAATGTTATGCTTTTTGCTTTCATGGTAAGAGCTTGTGTTGTAAATAGTGTGAGTTAAGACTCAAGATAAAATTTCCCCTCAATAAATGTGTGATTCTATTTCTATGCTGTTATGTGTCACTAATCTATTATGCTAATATTATACTACCTCAATTACTTTGGATTTATAAAGTAAGTCTAAAGGTTATTTAGTCTAGTAGTTTTCTTTTAAAAAACATTTTACTTCTGGGGCTGGACACATAGTACAGTGGTAAAGCCCTTGCCTTACATTCTGTTGGCCTGTATTTGATCCCCAGCTACAATCTCCTGAGCCTATCAGCAGTGAGCCCTGAACACAGAGCCAGGAATAATCGCTGAGCATCACCAGGTGTTCCCCCACCTCAGAAAAAAAAAATAGCTCTAATACTTTCGATGTTCAGGATTCTTCAACTGTTGACTCTATTTTTTTTCATTCTCCCACATTCATGGAATGATTAATTAGATAAAGAGGGGGTACAATGCTTTAAGGAGGTAGAAGGCTTGAAAATGACCACATCGAAGTGCTCTCTGTAAGAATCACTCCAGCTGCCTTAGTCTCAGGATGTTTGTCTATATTTGCTCTCTGAACTAACAAGGCTGCCAGTTGTTCCCAGTTTGTTTCCTGATTTCAAAGATGCATCTTAGAAACTTCCGTGAGCCATTTTCTCGAGAAAACTGTGATTTTAAATTAAATTTTTATTAAGCAGTTTAATTTGCACATATTTTGCCAGGTGGTAATAGCCTATGTTTCCAAATTATTCGTGGAGTATTAATGAAATATTTCACTTATTAGTGGGCTGGAGTGATAGCACAGTGGGTAGGGCATTTCCCTTGCACGTGGCCAACCTGGTCGACCCGAGTTCAATTCCTACTCCCCTCTCGGAGAGCCCAGCAAGCTACCGAGAGTATCTCGCCTGCACGGCAAAGTCTGGCAAGCTACCTGTGACGTATTCCATATGCCAAACACAGTAACAAGTCTCATGACAGAGACGTTACGGGGCCCACTCGAGCAAAATCGATGAACAACAAGAGGACAGTGCTATAGACAGTGCAGTTAAAATTTCTTAATACAGTGATACCAATAAGTGGGTGGTTGTTTAATATAGTGGGAAAATCATCTGTCAGAAGTTTTTAGTCCCATAAAAATTTATCCCTACTGTAATTAAGAAGTCTGTTGGATATTACAAAATGTCAAGTCTTACAAACCACGTTTTCTCACATTTTCTGTGAAGCCAAAAGACAGGTACCACTTAGCTAGGTTCTCAGATCGGAATGTCACCAAGTCATCTCCAAAGTGAGAGCCAAGCTAAGTGTTCAACTGGTGGCTCAATTAGGGAAAAAAATCTGCCTCAAAGCTCAGTGGTGTTGGCAGAATTCACTGCTTTTCTGTTATAGGACTGAGCGCTTTAGCTTTCTGCTGTGGCCTGGAAGCTGACTTCAGCTTCTCCAGGGTACCATGGTTTTCTGCCATGTGGCTTTTGCCCTAGGCAGAAGGAGCTTCTGGCGGGAGGATGTAAGTGACTCCACTCACCAGCCTGCATCTTAGGTTGTGTGGTGAAGTCATGAGTCAAGGCCCATCATATGGCTGTATCCTGGTGAGAAGCAAGTCATAGGTCCGGATACCCACACCAAAGGATTGTACAAAGACAAGAGCCATGGAAGACTAGACCAACAAATGGACATCTTAGAATCATCATTAGCAGCTGTGCATGTGTTTGCTCATCACTAAATCACCAGTGCCCTGAAACAGTGTCAGACATAGCTGGTGACTGAATGAAGCAATGTTGCAGATAGTCTTCCTTGGAAAATGTGTTCCTAGTCCCTCACCCCCACCCCTCAAATCCTTAATTCACTTTTTGGTTTTATATATGATATATTTTGATGTATAAAATATTACATTTTAATAATATTCTGTCTAGAATATATATAGGTATCATTGTATTAAGAAATGATTTTAATGATTTTTAATGATTTAATGATATTCTGTCTAAAATATATATATATATATATATATTGCTTTTTGGGTCACACCCAGTGATGCTCAGGGGTTACTCCTGGCTTTGCACTCAGGAATTACTCCTGGTGGTGCTCAGGGGACCATATGGGATGCTGGGAATCGAACCCGGGTCGGCCGCGTGCAAGGCAAATGCCCTACCCTCTGTGCTATCACTCCAGCCCCTAGAATCTATATTTTTTTAAACAACTGAAATTACATATATTTTTTTATTTTATTTTGCTTTTTGGGTCACACCTGGCGATACACAGGGGTTACTCCTGACTCTGTACTCAGGAATTACTCCTGGTGGTTCTCAGGGGACCATATAGGATGCTGGGAATTGAACCCAGGTCAGCTGCGTGCAAGGCAAATGCTCTACCCGCTGTGCTATCACTCCAGCCCCTAGAATCTATATTCTTAAATGTGGATTATCCCCATGTGGAGTAACTGAATGGTGGGCAGAGTTGGGGGTGAAGTGCATAAAAAAATGGCAAGAGCAAAAGTTTCTAAACACAAAACGAGCAAAAATTAATTTAAAAAACAATTGCTTAAGAAATCCAAGGTGTTTCTCACTGTTTGGGAACAGTTTTTCCCCAATTTGCCCAGTAATGTTGCACACTGGGTCCGGGCACACGTGGGGCAAAGGATGAAGGGCACTCGGAGAAACAAACCACTCCGGGAGACAGCTGATGGCCATTGACTTTATCACCAAATACACACATGTTTTATAGAGGGTCTCGGCTTAAGAGGATGGTCCAATCACATGACCAATCACCTTTCCAAGTCTGCTTTGCCCAGGCCCAATCCCAAATAGGGCTAGATGCTGCAGTTAGGAGTGACTTGCTAGATGACTCGACAGTTCTTGGGAGGGGGGGCGGGGGTTGGGTGAGACTCAAGACTGGATACCTGGTGCTTGTCAAATGTACCCAGACACTCCCTACTGGGTCACTATGCAGCGACAGATCTTATCTGCTCTGGCGCCTGTTGCCTTGCTCCACATGTCACAACATTCTTTGGATTTCTTTGGTGGAAGGGATCATGAGTAGGAAAAGCTTAAGAAGGCATGATCTATAAGACCAAGAACTAAAGGAGAGTGGTAACATAGATGTAGTGGACCGCCTTTCTTCTCTAATCTTTCCTAGTGCTTAGTTATATTAAATCGCTATGTACCAGTATCTGAGCCCAGTATCTGAGCTCTCTATTCTATTTCATTTCTCATTCTCTTCTTTCTTAATCACATACTTAATATTTTGATTGTTTGGTTTGGGGGATTTGGGTTTTGGTTTTTAACTTTTTTTTAACTGGGGTTCGGTGACTTACAATACTGCTAATAAGAGTTTCCCATGTGTATGATTCCAGCACCACACTCATCACTGTGCCCACCTCCCAAATCACATGCTTCAACAAATCATAGCTCTCTAGCACAGCAAAGCCAAGAAGTTACTGTTGGACTAAATAAGTTGAATAATTAGAACATGGTCTTCTAGAGTGTTAAAACAGATTTCAAATTACAGAGTCTCTAATAAAACTAAAGCTTGTTTTAGTTTTATACAGCACTATGTGAGTCTAATGAGAGGAATCTCTTCTGCACAGTCACTGAATTCTTCTATCCTATAATTCTATTTCTTCTTTCTCCTCTTCCTCTCCTTCTCTTTATCTTACTCCTCCTCCTTCCTCCTTCCTCTTTCTCCTCTTCTTCCTCCTTTACTTCTTTTTCTTCCTCCTCCCTTCCCTTTCCCCTTCTCCTCTTCTTTCCCTCCCCCTCCTCTTTTCTTCACCTCTTCCTCCCCCTCCTGAGATTAAACCAGGGTTAGTCACAGGCAGAGCAAGCTCCTTTAACCCATGTGCTATCTCTTGTGCCTCTCTGTCCTGAAGTTCTGCCACCCCTTGAGTGATGTCATGGTCTGTGTACTTACAGCATCTCTTCACTTATATCTATTCTTCTAGAAAGGAGTGGTAGAAATGTTTTGAAAGTGCCTTTTACCTGAGCTAATGAAATAGAATTCACACATATTACTTTTTTCTTCTCACACCTCTTTCAGACAAAGTCACTAAGGAAAATGTTTTCAAACAAGGTGCATGTATTAGGCTAAAATATGAGAATGTCTGTTATTTAAAAAGGAGAATGGGGGGCCTGAAGTGATGTTCAGCAGGTAGAGCACATACCTTGCACATGACTGACGCAGATTTGATCTCTGGCATCCCATATGGTCTACCCAGCACCACCAGGAATAATTCCTTAGTGTAGAGCCAGTAGTAACCCCTGAGTATTACGAGGGGTAGTCCAAAACCCAAAAATAATTTTTTAAAAAATGAAAAATAAAAGGAGAATGGGTACCAAAGACAACTTTGCCCCAGCCCAATATTCATAGTTGCAAATAATCATATGTAACAGGAAAATCTTAATAATCTTGCCTTGTAAAAATACAAACTTTCAGATTTGGCAGTAAAATCTAAATGTGACCTCACTTTTCTTTTCTTTTTAGATGGCCAATTACCCATGTGCCAGGTAGCATTCTATGACAATCTTGAATGCCAAGAGGAAGCCACTGGACAGCAAACTCTTCCGAGATCCTAACTGGACTGTTTGGTAACTTGGAAAAGAAGAGAAAAGAATCAGAACTATGGCAAGAACAAACAGAGCGCCTTCTGCCTCCCCTCCAGACGGGGGCTGGGGCTGGATGATTGTGGCTGGTTGTTTCCTTGTCACCATCTGCACCCGAGCAGTTACCAGGTAGGTGGGAACTAACTCTGCTTTATTAAGGTGATAGGGCATGTTGTCTTTTTCTCCCTAAGAATGCTTCATTTTAATTCTGAACATATTATGGTGAAAATTCATGTGTTTATGTAGGGGTGTGTGTGTGTGTGTGTGTGTGTGTGTGTGTGTGTGTGTGTGTGTATGAGTTTCCTTTATCTGCTCACATACATTTTCTTTGTAAAGTAGGTGGGATTTATTTTTGTTTTGACAATTAGGAGTCTTGCCTAGTGGTTTCTTCTGTGATATCTGACATAAACCTGAAGTATCAGGACAATTTTATACTAAATATTGTAACTATTCCAGCCATTTGTTTTCAGAAGAAGCTCATCCCAGAAAGGAAAAACATGTAAAACCCAAATACTTAAAAACCTCTTGAATCACCAGATACCATTGCATGTTTAAAACCTAGAATTTATTTTGCTTTGTTTTGTATTTAGCTATGAATGTGGGGGCTATGCAGAAGGAGAGAGATATAGTGTGATTTTAGGGCATATGTCATACTTTCTTGCTGTCTCCTTTTTTTAATTCAAGGATGCAGTACTATAAAAAAAAAAAAAAAGGATGGAGACTGGAGCGATAGCACAGAGGGTAGGGCATTTGCTTTGCATGTGGCCAAGCCAGGTTTGATTCCCAGCATCTTATATGGTCCCCTGAGCACCACCAGTAGTAATTCCTAAGTTGCAAAGTCAGGAGTAACCCCTGTACATTGCCGGATGTGACCCAAAAAGCAAAAAAATAATAATAACAAATAAAATTAAAAGGATGTGGTACTAATTATGCATGGACTACATGGATATATATTGAAATTCATTCTTACATTTTAATTTAGAATAAACTTGTTCCTGAAATATGCATGGACCAGTTCTTCTAAATTCTTTCAAATCAAACTCTTTGTTGCTCATCTCTGGCAGCAAAAGAAATTAATTTGTGCAAATAACTTTATTTGATAACATTGTCACCAAATGCATGAATGTTTCCCCCATGAAATCTGTATAATGCTCATATATTAAATATAATATATATTACATTAAAAATATAGAACTGAGGAAAGAAGCAGGATGTTTGTTTCTGTTATAATAAGTACTAGTTGAGTATGTTTCACAATCAACTATAAGTTGTTTAAAATAGTATTACTGGTAGGAAGTCTGATTTTTCTCCATTTATATTATGACTCTTGAAATCTGGGGGTAGAGAGGTTAGTGAGATAATAAGAATCTCTTTTATCTTGGTTCTTACCTGTGGAATGTTCTATCATTCTCATGATGAGACCATTTTGGAAGTGAGCTCAGTGCCTTATGAGCACTGCTGGAATCCAGGAAAGAGGCTACCTGTAGTTGCCAGCAGAAGTTACTGGGAGAGATTGGGTAGAGGAAATCTGAGCAGAATAAGGTGAGAGGAGGGAAGTGTGATGATGTAACTAGCATCAAAATTTAAATATAATGAGCCAGCAGGCAGTCCAGAGAACTGGGAAGGGGGAAGAGGAGAGCGGCCTGCAGGGAACGTGCCAGCGTAGAGCATCAGTTCATTCTTTCACCCCTACTTTGGTTGAGAAATACTTGGCACCCATCACTGGGTAACTTTTATAACTAGATGGTTTGATTTGTACATATTGTGAAAGAATTTTTTAAATTGATTCAGCTAATTTTATTATTAGCAAAGAAATGTTAATATTCTTATATAAGTAAGTAAGTAAGGCCCTCCCGTTGATCATCGATTTGCTCGAGCGGGCCCAGTAACGTCTCCATTGGAGACTTTGTTGTTACTGTGTCTGGCATATCGAATACTCTCGGTAGCTTGCCGGGCTCTCCGAGAGGGGCGGAGGAATCGAACTTGGTTCGGCCATGTTGGCTGCGTGTAAGGCAGACGCCCTACCCGCTGTGCTATAGACACAGTTAAAGGAAAAGAAAGAAAAACCTCCTGTGATGAGATATCTGACAATTTAGCCTCTCCTACTTAGCGTATCATGTAGACTGTGTGAGCTAAAATCATCCTGTGAGCATCACATCTCAAGTACTTAACTTCCAACCAGAAGTCTGTACCTTCTTACCACCTGCCTTTTATTTTTCCCTTTCCCTGTCAACCACTGGTCTGATCCCTTTCACTGTGCATTTTGTTTTTTGGCTTGTTTGAGATCCCACATCTGAGTGAGGTGATACCTTACCTGTCTTTCTTTGTCGGACTTATTGTACATAGTGTAAGTCCTTCAAATTCCATGTTGCAAATGGTAACATTATGTTATCTGTGGGGGGTGGGCTTCCAAGTAGTGCTCATGTTCACTTAGGGCCATTCTTGGTGATACTCTCATCCAACCAGACTGGATGGTTCAGTGCCCGAGTCTGGCAGTGGTTCAGCTCAGGCCTGCCCAGAAGTGCTGGAGCACAGCAGGACCACCCTAGTGGTGTTCAAGGTCATACAGTGCTGGGAAAAGAGCCTCGGGCCCATGCATACAAGATATGCACCCTGACACCTGTGCTATATCCCACTACCCCTCATTTTTTGTTTTGTTTTGTTTTGTTTTTAGGCCACACCCAGCTGTGCTCAAGGCTTACTCATAGCTCTTTACTCAGGGATCACTCCTGGCAGGTTCAGGAGACCATATAGGGTTCCTGAGGATTGGACCTGGGTCCAGCTGTGTGCAAGGCAAATGCCACACCTGCTGTGCTATGTCTCACCCTACCCTTCAATTTCTATGTCTGAATAGTATTCTATTATATGTGTATGTGTGGGGACATATATGTAAGTATGTACAAAGGATCTATTCATCCATAGAAGGACATAGAGCTTGTTCCCAGGTTTGACTATTGTAAATAATGCTTTTATAAATGTGGAAGTACAGATATACTTATAGCACTGCCCTGTATGTACTTAATGGTATTGTAAATTTATGTCAATTGCTTCTAAGAAAATCTATGTAGAAGTGTATTCACACAGTTTCAGACCTGTGTTTTTCAATGTTTGAATGTATAATGATCAACACCTGAAACCTATATAATGATAAAACAATGTAACTTCAACTTAAAATTTTTTAACTCATGCTATTTGATCTTTCATAAGAGCTTCTCTAGGGCAGTGATCTTCATATCCACTTAGCTTGAGTAGCCCTCTAATGATGAACTCTTATCCTATAGGATGATCTAATGGAAACTTCTAGTTTTCTATTTATGAATATAGCAATGTATGATTAAAAAGCAACTAAAACCCATTAAGGCTGGAACTGATGAAGCCAAAACTTTAAGCTCTTACTCAATTCCATGTCATGCTCATTAGCTCATTATTTAATTATATATATGTATGTATGTATATATGCATATATAATCGGTCATATATACATATCCTATATCCTATAACCAATCATGTATTTATGTATATATGTACACATAATATATATAATATCTTCACCTTATTTTTCAGATGCATCTCAATTTTTTTTGTGGAGTTTCAGACATACTTCTCTCAGGATTATGCACAAACAGCATGGATCCATTCCATTGTAGACTGTGTGACTATGCTCTGTGGTGAGTTTCACTTAACCAGGAATATGTAATTACTTTACATGCCAGTAACCTCCAACTGCCTTCAATTACCAGTTTTTATAAGTTGCAGAGCAATATAATATTGACTAAGATTATGCATTTGAAAAAGAAGATTGATCCTACTGTTAGTCCATCTCAACCAGATTTTCTCTTGGAATGAATAATTTTGGCTGATATCAGATGGAGCAGCTAATTAATATGCTCAAAAGAACATATACCATTTGGTTCTTCCATATCAAAAAAGGACGATGGAATCATAGGAATTGTTCTGATTTTAGAAGTAGTTAATCATATAGTATTTGCTTAGCTTATTTTCCAAATGCTATGGTTCCCTAACCCTGAATATGCAGAGTCAAGAAGGATATGGAAGGAGAGGCTGATAAAACACCAAGGCAGACATAGGCTGCCAAAACGCAGAAAAACAAAAATGATTGTCTGTACTTTTAATGCTCATACGCTGGCATCTGCTGCATCCATTGAAGACCTTATGGTACAAGCGCGAAAGATCAAGTATGACATCATTGGTCTGACCGAAACGAGAAGACATCAATCCCATCATGCTGTTTTCGACACTGGAGAAGAACTGTTCCTTGGAACATGTGATAAAAGAGGCATCGGTGGTGTCGGTATCCTTGTCAACACAAACGTAGTCACGAGCATTGATTCATTCGAATGCCTAACAACCCGAATCGGATGATTACACTTGAGTAAATGTGGCTCACTACCGGCAGTTTCTATCTTTGTTATCTATGCACCAACATCCAGTTATGGTGAAAGAGAAACTGAGAAATTCTACATGGAGCTGGAGAAGTTCTATAAAGAAGATCACACCTTCTACAAGATCATTGTCGGTGATTTTAATGCCAAGATAGGACCAAGAAGATCAGTCGATGAACTCCACATCAGAATCCATGGCCTGGAATGGAACGAACAGGGTGACAGACTGTCTGAGTTCATCATGTCAACCAAAACCTTCCATGGTAACTCACAATTCCAAAAGACTGAATGTAAACGTTGGACATGGGAGTCTCCCGATGGACGGTTCCACAATGAAATAGACCACATCATATTCAATTGGCGGTTTTGCCTAACCGATGTTGCTGTTGTCCCAAAATTCCAAACGGGATCAGACTACCGTCTTCTTTGTGCAAAATTCTACCTCACAGAACGAGGAGAAAAGAATGCAAGGTTTAAGAAGAGGACTCCCAGAACAACCACCAACCGGGAGCTCTTTGGCTCTATTGCGGCAACATGGGAAGATGCCGTCATTGACAACATTGATGAGGAATACGATCGAATAATTCAGCACCTCCATGATTGTGCAAGGAATGCCAAGAGAGAGATAACCACAAAAAACCGTCTTTCTTCGAACACTCTTGAACTTATTCACCAACGTGGCTTGGCACATGCCTCAGGCAACCACAAGCGAACATCCGAACTGGCAAAACAGTGCAGAGAAGCCATCAAGGATGACCTCAAAAACAGGAGAGCAGCAGTACTGGTAGATGCAGCAGAAGCTAGGAAAAACATTCGTAATGCCCGCCTGTCCTTCACCAACTACAAAACCAAGATGACTGCCCTCCGACATCATGATGGATCTATCACATCTTCCAGAAGGGCAATGGAGAAGATTATTCATGACTTCTACTCAGATCTCTTTAATAGCCACATCCACTTGCCCACATACCACATACCACATGATGGATATGTCGTTCCCAATGTTCTCCCTTCCGAAATCCAACATGCCATCTCGTCGGTAAAGAAACAAAGAGCACCTGGCCCAGACAAGATCAGACCTGAACACCTGAAGAACTTACCATCAGTACTCATCAATACATTGGCTCGACTCTTCACACGCTACCTGTCTGAATGCAAGGTTCCATCCCAATGGAAAACCAGCAGGACTGTACTACTATACAAGAAAGGAGACATCCACGACATTGGCAACTATCGCCCAATCTGCCTATTGTCTGTCATCTACAAACTATTCACTCGAGTCGTCCTGAATAGGATTAGCAGAACACTAGATGAAGGACAACCATGTGAACAAGCTGGATTCCGAAAAGGATTCAGTACCATCGACCATATCCACACAATAACCAAGCTCATTGAGGTATCTCGGGAGTTCAAGATGCCGCTCTGTCTAACGTTCATTGATTTTAAAAAAGGCCTTTGATTCTGTTGAGACGGAAGTGGTCATGGAAGCCCTAGCCAATCAGGGCGTACAAACTCAATACATCAGGATCCTTCGTGAGCTCTATTGCGGATTCACTACCAAGATCTCACCATTCTACAAAGAAGTAATCATCCATATCAAGAGAGGGGTTCGGCAGGGTGATACCATTTCACCAAAACTTTTCAGTGCCACCCTCGAGAACATCATGTGACGACTGGAATGGGAAAACATGGGAGTGAAGGTAGATGGTCGGCAACTACACCACCTCCGCTTTGCTGATGACATCGTTCTAATAACACCAAACATCAGCCAAGCGACACAAATGCTGAACGACTTTGACCGTGAATGTGGAAAGGTCGGACTACAGCTGAATCTTACGAAGACAATGTTTATGAGAAACAGCCTTGTTCCTGATGCTCCATTCGCTCTCAACAGAACCACCATCTCCGAATGCAACAGTTATATATACCTAGGTCGAGAAATCAACATGATGAATGACCTGGCACCTGAGTTGCGCAGGAGGAAGAGAGCGGCTTGGAATGCCTTCAAGAGCATTGAAGAAATAACTAAAAGGACAAAGAACCTCCAACTACGAGCACATCTCTTTGATTCCACTATTCTTCCTGCATTAACATATGCCTCAGAGACCTGGACCCTACGAAAACAGGATGAGAACGCTATTCGGGTCTCTCAAAGAGGAATCGAAAGAACTATGCTTGGAATATCACGATTCACTCAAATGAGAGATAGAATCCGGAGTTCTGATCTTCGTCAACGCTCAAGAATCAGGGACGCTGTCTCATTTGCCAAGACATCAAAAATCAGATGGGCTGGACACGTAATGAGGTTTACAGACAACCGCTGGACTAGAGCCATTACTGATTGGATTCCACGGGACATCAAAAGATCACGTGGACGCCCACCTATAAGATGGTCAGACTTCTTCGTCAAGACCCTAAATGATCGGTTTGAGGCTCTGCATATTCCTAGAACGAACAGATACCATTGGGCTACGCTAGCACGCAACCGGGATGAATGGAGACATTACTGGCACCCGCTCGAATAAATCGATGAATAACGGGGATTAAGTGATAAGTGATAAGTGATGGTTCCCTAATTATCCAGTCCTATAACCAGTCACTGCATAGCAGTGATTTCTGTCCAAGTAATCTTTTTTTTTTTTTTTTTTTTTTTTTACTTTTTGGCTCATACCCGGCAATGCTCAGGGGTTACTCCTGGCTTTTCACTCAGGAATGACTGCTGGCGGTACTTGGGGGACCATATGGGATGCTGAGAGTCAAACTCAAGGCAAGCAACTCCTGCTGCTGTACTATCACTCCAGCCCTGTATCCAAATAAGTCTAAAACAGTACCAGTAAATGCATTACCTCCCAAAACTTGTTTTCACACTGTTCCCTTCCCCAAAAGGGTACAAAATTTGATTCATGAGTTTCTTCATTTTTCATGAGTAAATCATTCTTAGACAAGGACTGGGCAAAGAAAAGATGGTGCAGTCATGAAATAAACTCATTCACCATGGCTGTCATTTCACCCATACAACCCCAGAGTTTGCAATTTAGAGTTTGTAGTGTTTCCAGACACTCCCATTTCATCTATATAGTAGAGGGAAACTATCCTTGGGATTTTAACTTCTATTAATTTTTCAAATCAAACTTATTCATGTCTTAGATTCTGAGGCTAGTCCTGTTCAAATAATGTATTTGAAGATTATACTCATTTAATCCTTTCATTTAAGTGAATTCTGTATTTTAGAAAGTGCATTTCTTTGTGCACAACTTGGTAGGAAAGGGAAATGCTGAATTCTGCAGGAGACTATAAATAATGGCATCTGATTCCGTTCTAGGTACCGATTCTTATTTATTTTTAGAAAAAAACTGTGCATATTTAGGAATCACTTGAATCATGTCCTGTGTTTGGAGGCATTGAAGATGAAGACTAGGTCTAAAAGCAGGTTTTATGAGCAGGTTAGGTTGGCTCTTTTTCTTGATAACACTATGTACCCCCTTCCTTTTTTTTTTTTTTTTGTTTTACCAGCAAGACAGTCCGTTGGTTTTCAGGGTCACATGATCAGTAACAGCCATTGCATGGACACCTCATGAGAATCATGGAATCATGTTTGTATTTTAGGTGACTCGTTTCCCTCCTGTTATCTTTTGCTCTTCATAGGAGGCCTTGAGCTAAGCAGGGTCACGTTAAGTGCCACCTATTTCAGTTCTGTACAAGGACTTGAGGCCTTTTGTACCCGATTATCATCCACCAACCTGTTCATCTGGGAACATTAGTGGGGCTCACAGAATCACATCTAGGACCCTCTTTGGAGATATACAACCTTTTGATGAATAGAGAAGAAAACATTTTTGAGTTCAATAGGCATATTCCATATTTTCTGGGCTTTGAACTTCTCATCCATAGGTTTCCCAAAGGTCAAGGCAGGGCCAGGTAGTTTGTTTAGTATCTTCTCAGTGGCCCTTTTGTGGTACATGTTGTCCTACAAGGCTACCCACTTTCTTCTCCACCATTCGACTCTCATGACATTTAATTACATCAAACATACAAAGCATACCACTAGGCAAGTGGCTTGTAGTTTAAATCAGAAGTTCATTGGTGATTTACAGAAACACTTGGGGTGGGAGGAGAACTAAGCCAAAGAAAAAGACCCAGAATAAGATCCAGCTTTACTCTGTTATTTCCATGTGACTATGGACAAGTCATTTCCTCTACCCTCAGTTTTTCAAATCTGTAAAAAGAACAGCACAGGTTCAGTGCTATGAAGGTCAATCATTTCCTGTTCTACATACCACATCACAGACTTTCGCAGTGCCCTCACGGCCTCTCTGTTAAACTTCTTTATTATTGTTTTGAAGCGCCACTTGGGAGTGTGGTCAGTAACCATCTATCCTGCCAAGTGGGAATCATGCTGGGTGGCTTGCTGGCATCTACTGGTCTCATCCTGGGTTCATTTGCTACCAGTCTGAAGCATCTCTACCTCACACTGGGAGTCCTTACAGGTAAGGGCACTTTCTGCTCCTTCTCTCACCCCAGGCCATCCATTGGGTGGTTGCCAGAATGGTGACTCCTAAAATGGGGGGGGGGGGGGGCGTTGCCTTTTTGGTCACACCCAGCAATGCTCAGGGGTTACTCCTGGCTCTGCACTCAGGAATCACCTCTGGCGGTGCTCGGGGACCATATAAGATGCTGGGAATCAAACCCGGGTTGGCCGCGTGCAAGGCAATTGCCCTAACCGCTGTGCTGTCGCTCTAGCCCCTAAAATAGTCATTTTGTTAGATAAAATTTAGCTGACCTAGTTTATGTCGATCTACCTAGCAATTAGACAAAAGAGCTAGAAGTGCAATCGATTGTGCTACTGTAATAAAAATGCAAAACCACTTTAAAAAATAAGCCTCATGGTAAAAGTAACTGCTGATTTTCCCTTTGGTGGCAGTCTGGCAGAAATTTTGTTCTCAGAGGCAGCGAGAGTCAGGACAATGTAAATTTTCAGCAATGATTATTCTCCCAACATTTTTGCCAAGACATTAAAACTTACCTGTGGTCACAACAGACCTCAATGGCTGTAGGCATCAGTCATTGTCCAGCTAGGAAGGTGTCATCATTTTAAACAGAAAACCCTTTATTGTGGCCATTCTGATGCAACATGTTCTCAGTGTTACAGAAAGAAGTATGCTTCATTCTGTTGATGCTGAAGCTTTAGCCCAGGGTCTCACACAGGCAAGGCAGGTGCTCTGCCTCTGAGCCACAGTCCTGACCCTAAAAAACTAGAATAGCTATGCATTTCATAAATTGCAGGTAGGAGGATTGCGTAGGGTCAGGGTGGCCTTGGTTGGTGGAACCCACATGGGAGTTTGATCGAATTCTGAGGTGTGAATCTCTGTTTCAGCAGTGCCATCAGGGGTGGGTGGAATATTATCTCCTATTGAGTCCATGCATTCAGCTTCATGATGTAGCTTTGTGTAACCCAAAGGGTCACGCTGCTGGGATCTCCATCATCCCCATTCACCAGAGACTCTCCTTTAGCACTGAGACACTTACATCAGGGAGGCCACAGTCCAGCAGGTTGGGATCTTGGTCATCCTGCACTGCCTGTGGGACAGGAGCTGAAGGTCATTCTCCTTTTCCTTTCATGGTGTTTTTTGTTTGTTTGTTTGTTTTGTTTTGTTTTGTTTTGCTTTGCTTTTGGGTCACACCCAGCAATGCACAGGGGCCATTCCTGACTCTTCACTCAGGATTTACTCCTGGTGGTGCTCAGGAGACCATATGGGATGCTGGGAATAAAACCCGGGTTGGCCGCGTGCAAGGCAAATGCCCTACCCGCTGTGCTATTGCTCCAGCCCCCATGGTGTTTTAAGTCCCACAAATCCCAGGCTTAAAGCCCTTCCTATTTTCTTGACTCAAAAGGAAATGGAGTGATTTTTCAGACTTTTTGCTGACTTTAAGAAGGCTTCTAGGTGACTGCATATATTTGCTCTGTTCAAATATAAAACTTAAAACTCACACTTTGTTACCCAGTGATGTGAAATTACTCTGGAACTTTCATGCGGTTACATGTGTTATTTAAGCTACACTTCCAGAATGGCCCAGACTATTAAATTGTGTCTTCAGTGGCAATAAAGGATTGAAGTTAGCAATTCGCTGGATATTTTAAATTTAAAACAGGTTTGAATGGGTAAGTCCATTTCATAGGTCAGCCTTATTTTGATTTTCTTGTTAATTTAAATTAGTTTATCTAATAGTTTTGAAGGTCTTCTTTTCATTTCAAGAAATCCTGTTTCCTTAAGAGTTTTCTTCCCAGGGCTGAAATGATAGTAGGTTGCTTACCTTGCATGCGGCCGACCCAGGGGTTTGATCCCTGGCACCCCATATGGACCCCCAAACACAGAAGCAGGAGTAAGTCCTGAGCATTGCCAGGTGTGACCCCAAAGACAAAAAAAATGTTTTCATTCCAAGAGGCAAGTCATGTGTATGCCACAGTTTAAATATTGGATGGCTGGTGAGAGGAGACTTATTTTCAACTTAATATTAAAAAGTTTGATAAGGGTTCACTAAAAGGCCCAGTTCACTTAAATCCAAGCTGTTTCATTCTGAGAGATTTCTTTGGTTTGGGGCCACACCAGGTGGTTCAGGGCTTCAGGCTCTGCACTCAGGGATCATTCTTGATAGCCTTCAGGGGACCATATGTGGTGCAGGGGATTGTACCCTGGTTGGTCACATGCAAGGCAAGCCTGTTATTCACTGTACTATCTCTCTGTCGTCAGCTGAGAAATTTCTTTCCTTGTTGGCTCCTATCCCAGCACCTTATTTTTGGGATTTCTCTTTATTTCTAGGTCTTGGATTTGCACTCTGTTATTCTCCAGCTATCGCCATGGTTGGCAAGTATTTCAGCCGACGGAAAGCCCTTGCCTATGGGATCGCCATGTCGGGAAGTGGCATTGGCACCTTCATCTTGGCCCCAGTGGTTCAGCTCCTCATTGAACAATTTTCCTGGCGAGGAGCGCTCCTCATCCTCGGTGGCTTTGTTTTGAATCTCTGTGTTTGTGGGGCCTTGATGCGACCGATTACTCTTAAAGAGGACCATACAAATTCAGAGCAGAACCATGTGGATCGAACTCAGAAACAAGACTGCAAGCAGGCATCGCCCTGTCCAAATTTGACCAAAGAATGGATGCAGACCTGCCTTTGCACTTCTTTGCAGCAGGAATACAGCTTTTTGCTGATGCCGGACTTTGTTGTATTAGCCGTCTCAGTTCTGTTTATGGCGTATGGTTGCAGCCCTCTCTTTGTATACTTGGTGCCTTATGCTCTGAGTGTCGGTGTGAGTCACCAGCAAGCTGCTTTTCTGATGTCCATACTTGGTGTGATTGACATTATTGGCAATATCACATTTGGATGGCTGACAGACAGAAGGTAAAATGGATTTCCTACCAGGCACCAACCAAACTGAGTTTTTCCCCCACCCCTTTGTCCTGTAGGATTCCTAGGTCTGAATGTTAGCACATCTTTAATATCTGAAGGCAGCTGTCTTGCTAGTTCTTCTTGCTAGGAATTGGTAAACGTTCTTTATAGACAGAGAATAAACGTTTTGGGCTTCATGGGCCATATTCTCACCATTCTTCAGCTCTGCTTTTGTAACACAAGGGAGCCATGACAATATGTGACATGACTTCTTTTGTGGACACTAAAATTGGAATTTCTCATAATTTTTCACGTCACAGCATAGCATTATTCTTTTATATTTTCTCTTACCATTCAAAAAGTAGAAAAACCTTCTTAGTTAATTGGTGATGGAAAAAATAGGTGGAGGGGCAGATTTGGACATGTTTGCCAACCTCTGTTCTAAGAGTTTTGGGTTGTAGATAAACCTAATTTGTTGGAAACCTAGGGCAACTACAAGTTCTGGTGACAGTTTAATTTCAGATGGTCAAGTCCATCTCCAGGTAAGACAACTGCTGGTAGGTGTTGTGGTCATAGTTTCTTTTGAACAACCCCCAGAGTCTGGCTGGTGATGGAGAGGGAAGCAGATGTAGTTCAGGGGGGAGGATTCATGCAGTAATAACAGTAGGGGATGATGTCCCCATACTTGTGTTTGACAGTGCAAGTAGAAAATACTTTCTGTGAAGAACTTCAAGACTAGAAACTAAATTTTTCAGAAACAGTAATTTATTCATCTAATCTGTATCTATTTGGATCGAAGGAAAATACTTTCTGTGAAGAACTTCAAGACTAGAAACTAAATTTTTCAGAAACAGTAATTTATTCATCTAATCTGTATCTATTTGGATCGAAGGAAATTGTTACTCAATTGGTCATTAGTCATGATCCAGCTTCTGGTCTCCAATGCTATGAATTTAATATTTAAAATCAATTCCACACTTTTAATGGTCACAGGAGAAGAAGAAGAGCAAGAGTATCTCTCTCTCTGTGATCAGTTAGTTAGAAGCCTGGTCTGATTAAGGGATTTCCAGTCTGGGATATCCCAGCCCTAAGCTTTGGTGCTGGTTTTATCCCTTGTGATCCCTGTAACAGGGAAAGCCACTTAACCCTTGGATTTTCATAGGCCTTCGGTAAAATGAGTGAGTGCAATATTTTTTTATCCATCTCATAGCATTTTTTTGGAGGGGGTGGGGTGGAGGTGGGGAGTGGGCCACACCTGGCGATGCTCAGGAGTTACCTCCTGGCTCTGCATTCAAAATCACTCCTGACAGTGCTAAGGAGACCATATGGGATGCTGAGGATCAAACCTGGGTCTGTCGCATGCAAGGCACGTGCCTTACCCACTGTACCATCACTCTGGCTCCTCTCATAGCATTTCGTGATGGATTATGGGAAAATGTAAAGGATAAACTCCTGGTGCAGGCATTGTACAGAATCTTAAAAGCAATTAGTATTATATATGGGCTTGGAATGACTGAGGGGGAAATATAATGAAACTACTATGGGAGAGATTTTGAAATAAGATGTGGTCATAGTACAGGACCTTCATCATCTCAGGCCAACCATTTTTTTTTAACTCACTGTTATTTCCTTCCTTAATAAAACATAAGCAAAGGACAGAGTCTTTTTTGTTTTTTTGGGTTTTGGGCCACACCCAGTGGTTCTCGGGGTTTACTCCTGGCTGTACACTCAGGATCACTTTTGGCAGGAGCAGGGAACCACACGTGGTACAGGGGATCACCCACATGCAAAGCAAGTGCTCCAACCACTGTATTATCACCCTGGCCCTGATAATTTTACCCTAACTATTGTATGTTTATGTAAAACACTGAGGTGTGTTATTTATTTTTAAGTCGCCATGAAATTACAAAGAAATGGAGTTGCTGGGTCAAATGGAAGCTGAATTCCTAATATTTTTAGAAATGTCCATATTGTTTTCCAGAAAGACTGAATCAGTCAACATTCCCACCAGCAGTGAAAGAGAGTCCCTCTCTCCCTGTACCCATGCTGACACTATTCTTTCTTATGCTAACACTGGTTATTCTTATACTTTTTGATGCGTGACAGGCTTTGTGGTGTGAGATGATTATCTCATTGTTGTTTTGATTTATATCTCCCTGATGATTGAAATGCAGAACATTTTTTCAAATGCCTTTTTGATTAGCCATTTTGATTATATGCCTACTATATAGCCACCTGGATTACTGAATATTTATAATGTGCCTCTGTAACCTGTAACCTGAAAGCATCTAACATGATAGCTTTCTAGAAAATATTAGTCTTGGCATTCTGAAGATTACTTTACAACTATTATGTAGGTAACCTTCCCATTTTACAGCTAAAGAAATCAAGGTCATTTACAAAATAATTAGTAACTAGTAATAACTAGTAAGGGAGAAAACTGGACCAAAACTGGACTGTGTGTAATTTCAGAGTGTTTATTTTCTATCACACCATACTTCTTGGGGAGGTTAGTTCTTGAATTTCCTTACATAACAGAAAGACAGACAGATAGCATAAGTGACATACAATGGGGGATGATCTCTGAAGAACTGTGATACTTACTGCTGTGTGGCATGGTTTGAAGTTCTGAGGGTTTTTTTATACAACCCATATGTACAGCACTCATTCTTGTCCTTTATATCCCACAGGTGTCTGAAGAATTACCAGTCCATTTGCTACCTCTTTGCTGTGGGACTAGATGGACTCTGCTATCTCTGCCTCCCCATGCTTCAAAGTCTCCCCTTTCTCGTGCCTTTCTCTTGTATCTTTGGATACTTCGATGGTGCCTACGTAACCCTGATTCCAGTAGTGACTGCAGAAATCGTGGGGACCACCTCTTTATCCTCAGCACTTGGTGTGGTGTACTTCCTTCACGCGGTGCCATATCTGGTGAGCCCGCCTATTGCAGGTGGGTTTTAAGAGAGAACCCCAACTCATCTCTTCTGTTTCATCACAGTCCTCCCGTTGTTCATCAATTTACTCGAGCGGGCCCAGTAACGTCTCCATCATGAGACTTGTTGTTACTGTGTTTGGCATATCGAATATGTCACGGGTAACTTGTTAGGTTCTGCCGTGCGGGCGAGATACTCTCAGTAGCTTGCCAGGCTCTGTTTCATATTGATGTAAAAACATTAGGCTCACATAAAGATGATGAAGACCAGAAGCAACTTGGGGAGAAATGTGTGTTGTGTTGAGAGAGGCGAGGGGAGGAAGGAGGAGAGAGGTACAAGACCTTCAAAATATCATGGTCTTATCTATATCATTAGGTTACAGTCTTCTTCCAACCATCTAGGGAACAGTCTACCTGGAAAGAGAAAGTCCCAAATTAAGTTCTTGATGAAACTATTGAAATGGAGCACTGTTCATATTTTTAAATAAGTCCGTACATCAAAAGGGACATCTGCAGAGCACAGGATACCAACAGAGAACAGAGGGAGGTGAGACTGATAGAAGTGTGAATGGCAGGGGCCGAAGAGATAGTGCTGTGGGTAGGGAGCTTGTCTTGTACACAGCCAACCCTGGTTCAGTCCTGGCACCACATACGGTTTACCTGGTTTACCTGTCTCCACCAGGAATGATCCCTGAGCCCAGAGCCAGGAGTAAGCCCTGAGCACTACTGTATGTGGCCCAAAAACAAACAAACAAAAGTGTGGGTGGCATAGTGGAATGGATTGAGTACTAGTCAAAGGGCTGGGGGCACTATGTTCTTCAGAGACGTTGGATAGTATTACAAAAGAGTAGTATGGAAAAGAATCTATTTTAGAAACCATGATCTAGCAATTAATTGATTGCTAAATCAATTGATACTTTCGGGTATGAACAAAATTCCAGCCCAATGGTTCAGGAGCAAACTGATAAAGGCTTGTGTGAACTCCAAGAATGGAACACACTCTTGGAACAAGATGAAGTTCTAGGCAAAGATAACAGCAGACATAGCAAATAAAGATGTGGGAAGCAAAGATATCAAAGATAACTTAGAAAGGAATGACAAGATTGACCAAGGCCTCGCATTATGCAAGGCAAGTGTTCTACCACTGAGTCACTTCCCTTGCCCTTGAATCCTTAAGCAACATTTGATTTATGTTAACTCTGTTTTTAAAAAATTTTATTTAGGGGCTGGAGTAATAGCACAACGGGTAGGGCGTTTGCCTTACATGCGGCCAACGCGGGTTCGATTCCCAGCATCCCATATGGTCCCCCGAGCACCGCCAGGAGTAATTCCTGAGTGCATGAGCCAGGAGTAACCCTTGTGCATCACCAGGTGTGACCCAAAAAAGAAAAAAAAAATTATTTAAACACCGTGATTTACAAAGTTATTCATAATACAGTCATTTTAGGTATTCCATATTCTAACACCAATCCGACCACCAGTTTGACCTTCCCACCACCTGTGTCCCTCTCTAGCCTGACCCTTTAGCAGACACAAATAATTTACTTTATATTGCTTATTACAACATATATCTCATAATGGTGCTACTAAAGTTATTGTCTGCAAATGAGACACTAGTTGAGCCTACTGTGCTATTGTTTTTCACTCATTGAGCTTCAGTGTTATTTTTTTTCACTCATTGAATTCTATGCATCTTTCCTAATTTTCTGCATTCCTACTGGGCTGTCAGTACTGTAACTTTGGAGATGTTGTATGGCCACATACATGTACAGCCACTTCAGCAGCTCTATCACTAGGATGATTCAGCAGCAGCGTGGCCTCTTGGGCCTCCCAGGTTCAGCTTGGCTGCAGCTTCTCTCCAAGACTGATCATGGGATTGGGCTGTTTAGATGCCAGTGGAAGTGGTGTGGGTCAGTGGAGAGCTGGGCTCTCCAACAGAGCAGACACTCAGCCTGCCCCATCCTGAGAAGGCTCCAGTGATAGGGGCACAAAGACCAGGCCTACCAGGTCAGGCACAGCTGTGACTTCTCTCTGATTTATGTTAACTTTGAATAAATAGAATTGAACTGCTGTTATTAAATGAAAATGGTTACCTATGGAGGCAAAGAACGACCCCATTGAAAGCAACAAGGAAGCTAAAGAAAATGGTTTTGCCAGGAAAATGATGAATATAATGGTCATATTCAGATATCTGAAATCCCCAAAAGTATGGCCACATAGAGCTGTTTAGGAATGAAATATGAGCTTAGCAGAGATTTCCAAACTTATTTGTCCTTCAGTCACCTTTTTAGGAAAAAAACCCAACTCAGCCTGCCAACCCCCATAAATTTACCTTCTTTAAATGAACAGAAATTACCCCAGAATTGTACCCAAGGCTGCTACTTTGCTCCCCAGGAAAAGCATATACTTTGGGAAATATGATTCAGCCAGAGGCTAGATTTAGAGTTCCCAGATAAAGCACCCAGAATACTTTGTAGACTGTCAAGTACTCTAGAAATGTAAAGGAGGATTCAACAAAGAATCCAACAAACATTTCCTGCAATATTGTGCTTGAAACTGCTGGTAAAGCATTAAACAGATCAGAATCTGTTCCTCCTTCCTAGAGCTTGAGGTCAAGACTCAGGTCTCCCAGAATGAGGTTGGGGGATTACCTGCATCAGAAATTCCTATAGACTTGTTAGAGTGAAGATTACTGGCCCTTTGACTGTGATCTGAATCTTTGGGGATGAGCTCTGAAATTCTCTCCATATCTGCAGCCCCCTTTCTTGTGATGCTTATGCACACTAAAGACAAGACAAACTCCTGAATGTAACTGCCAAACTAAAACCCAGCAAGTGGGTAAGTTCCCCAAGGATCAGCATGAGAGAAATGAGCTTAGCAGAGAATTCCAAACTTATTTGTCCTTCAGTCCCCTTTTCAGGAAAAACAAACAAACAAACAAAAAAACAAAATTCTAGCCTGCCAACTAGAATAAAGGAAATTTTATTAAAAAAAAAAAAAGCAGGAACCTGTTTTAGTTCTTGTTAAGAACAAAGGGTGTAGGTTACCCCCATATTCCAGCTATTGTTAAAGCAGAAAATAAGGGAAATGGTTGTTACTTTACTGCTGTAGATGAAAATTCCCCATCAGTTTAAACTCCATGACATAGACCCACATGTTGGATGCTTTGTTTTTAGAAACTGACACCCAAATGTTCCCACATCCTCTTTCATTAGCCCATTTTTTCATTTTAGGAACAGAATAATTCTATTTTTAAAAAATCAACTTCCTTCATCTTTTTCTCAATCCATGGCCTTTATTTAGCAAATTGGACGTTCTACTCAGTGCCTGGCATTGGAAGATGAAAGTGTTTTACTCCTTTTGGGATTTATTCTTTTATTTGGTTTTCTTTAAAATAAAAATGCTGGCAAAGATACCCCCAGACCCTGTGTCAGGCTGAGTCTCATATACACGGCATCCTGGAGGGAGGAGTCCTCCATCTGCCCAAACAGAGCACCAGCAACCAGAACCCGCCACACTCCAGTCGCCGCCAGGTGCACAGCCGTACTCAACAGGCTCGGGACAAGCCTCATTGAGGAATGAATCTGTAGATAAACTTGGGTATGCAGGTTTTGTGGCTTCTAAGTAACATCACATTCAATCTGGTGTGCTTCTACTGGATTATCAGTATTGTAAAGTTTGGAGATGTTCCAGGGTATTGAGAACTTTTTAACTGGTTGGTCCAGGTAGAGTTAAATTTTTTTTATCAAGTTTTTCACGATGATTTATTACATTCAATATTCCAACTCCAATCCCATCACCATTCTACCTTCCCACCACCAATATTTCCAGTTTTCCCAACCACCACCCAAGCCTGCCCCAATAGTGGTCCTAAATAATTTATTTTGTATTTTTTGTTATGAATAATTCACTAAAAATGATCAAAAAAGATTTCCTTAGAAGAAAATTAGGAAATCTAAAATAACAGGTAAATAAAAATAAAAGTAGGAATCTTTATGTATCAGACTACTTTTCCTTTTTTTTTTTTCGTTTTTGGTTGTTGGGTCACACCCGGTGATGCACAGGGGCTACTCCTGGCTCATGCACTCAGGAATCCTGGTGGTGCTCAGGGGACCATATGGGATGCTGGGAATCGAACCCGGGTCAGCCACGGAAAACATCCTATCCACCATGCTATTGCTTCAGCCCCCAGACCAAACTTTTCAAACTGACCTTTATCAATTACTTTATTGGCAATTTTATTTGAATACCAGCATCACTACCAATATTTTCACACAAGTATTGTGCATCGTAAAACTACTTCATGGAACTGAAGATCAGTTGACACTCCCCAAATTAAGAAGTGAGCGTCCTTTTTAGACTTACAAGCCAGTTTAGATCAATGGAATTAAAGCAGGGAAGAAGAGAAAGCATATAACTCTCTGGTAGATTTTCTTAGCATAAAAGTAAAATTTGGAAAAACTTAACAATCTTTAAAATTATAAAATAATTGCCTGCAGAGTTCTAATTTTATCCCACTAATTCTCAGCTCACAGGGACTCATATTTTACCTCTCCTGGTTCTCTTCAAAATTTAGAGCTGGAGTAGAAAAATTAATTTGTTGCAGTGACAGATAAAAAGGGAAGAAGGACATGATTTCAGAATTGTGCTTTCTGAAGTCTACATTTTTAGCTTCTAAAATGGCCTAACATTCTGATTTCAAGGTGAATGCATCATAATGATGAATTTGAAAGTTTGGGTTCCACTTTATCCAAAAATATTGTATTTGATGTAATAAATAATATATTAGTTATGTTATTCAAGATAGCTTATGAGTGCTGTGAAATGCATTTTATACAGTTTTATTCTCCTGATGCCTAGATAAATAGCCCTGATGTTCATCATTTGAATGATGCTGATTTTATCTTTTCTATTATTCCAGGTGATTAATAAAACTGCTATTTATTGGGTGATCACTAAAAATGTGACAGGCTTTCTAGCATGTCACTTTGGAGAAGGAATAACAACATTCTTTTTCAGGATGTTTTTCTAGAAAAGAAGATGCATGCTTCAGTTGTTACTCAATATGATTAGGAGATTGGGTGTGTCAAAAATTAGATGGTGGTACTAGCAACCTATTGTTATTATCCTTGCTGATGATTCGATTTGAGCCATGTAAATGAATTTTCAACTCGGCGCTATAATCTTGCTGTTTCTTGTTGCAGGGTGGCTGGTAGACACAACTGGCAGCTATACTGCAGCATTTCTTCTCTGTGGATTTTCAATGATATTTAGTTCAGTGTTACTCGGCTTTGCTAGACTTGTCAAGAAGATGAAAAAAAGCCAGCTGCGGTTCCTTGCCAAAGAATCTGATCCCAAGCTGCAGCTCTGGACTAATGGATCGGTGGCTTATTCTGTAGCAAGAGAATTTGATCCGAAAGATGGGGCATCTGTGGTCCTCGCAGTGCCCACCTGACCCAGGGACTTGGCCTGGGAATGCATCTTCAAGGCAAGAGAGGAGGGACCATGGGATTGTACATGATTCTGAAGTATTTTATTTTGACAGAAGCATTGACCTCCACGGAAATGATTATTACTGTTTGGATAACATGTTTGTAGAGGAAACTCGCAAATAACAAAGGAAACTGGACTGGCTCCAAGTTTCCCCATTCGGGGTTTGTACATAACAATTGAACTCACATCTTTTGGATAATGAATATCAATCCATGGAGAATGTAAGGATATAGCTGATATGATTCTCTGTAATTGAGGTAATTTTCAGACATCTCAGACCCAAGTAGATGACCACTAGATAGCAACTTTCCCCCAATGTCTATGGCCCTTCCACTTCCTGCCATCATTTAGAAGGTGAACAGTCATTAACATGTAGATTTGGGGGGCTGGTGGGATCAGCTTGGAGTAGTGGTTGAAGTTGAAGATGCCAAAAACTTTTTCAGAGTGAGGTTTCTCCCTAGAGACTATTCCCACCTGCCCCCGCCCCCACCAGCCCTGACCTCCCCCATCACTTCCTTATTTTTCAAATCAGCTCTTATTCTGGCAAATTCAAACCATGAAAATTCAAATGATCATGGAACGCTGTCGTTTTCTGAATTGTAAGACCCAGGCAGCCCTGACTGGGAAGGTCTTCTATATGAACACTGGAAATGAAAAGCCCATTTACTAAGATTAAGTCCTAGGCACTCATCTTTGTTACTAGCCTTTACAAGGCTAGCTCCACCCCAGAGAAATTTGTTTTTATTTTCTTTTGTTTTTGCTTTCATTCAGAACCTGGGACTGAACCCAGGACCTCACACATGCAAGGCAAGTCCTCTAACGCGAAGCTACATCCCTGACCCTATAATGCTTATTCTAAATTTACTCTCAGTTTAGCAGAACACAGCAAGTCATAAGGGCAATTTCTCAGTCTTATCTGAAATGTTAACACCAACTTTCCCCCCCCACCTCTCCTCTTATCTGAAATGTTAACACCAACATTCCCCCACCCCTTTTTTTTCCCCCTTTTGAATTAAAGCTCTTATTTAAATTGCAGACACATTCCTCTTAGGAACAGAAAAATGTTGACATTATTCCAACTGGGCAGGAATTGAATTCTTGAATCAGCAGGTCTCTAGTGAGAGTTTTCTTTTCAGATCAGACATTTAGGTTCATCATCATTCAGAACAGGACTTGGCAGTTTTGCCTGGGGAAGGGCAGGAAATAAACCTCTATGATTCTAAAATAATCCAAAGGTGATATTCCTTTTTTCCTGTGTGAATTCTTGTAATGTCTGCTGTTCTTCATCTCTTTATAGACAGACTTTGGAAACCTGTGGGCTTTCCCATTCATTTGTAGTGAATGCTTCTGGGGTTAATGTCAGCATCATAATATCCTCACACATTAGTGTGTGGACCCAGGGAGAGTAAGGTGAAGATTTCTGTAGGGGTTACTGCAAAAACAAACAAAACGATGAGGAAGATCCAAGGTTGACTAAACATGTTGGGCAAGAGTCTTTGGACGCAGTGAGACTAAGCAGGCTGCATTTCAGCGTCTTTGCCGAAACTGGATTATATGATAATCTGACTTACTGGCATCTTTCAGAATTAAATACTGATTCAATTTTTCAATTTGATTGGGGGGTGGGGGGAAGCTGTAGTAGATCATAGTTCTTTTCCAAAGAGAAATTTGAATGTTAGCTACTTTAAATGTTAGTTAATTTTAGCTCATTAGTTAACATTTGAATGTTAGCTAATGTTAACTTGAATGTTGAAAAAATCTTTTACTTCATTTGAGAGTTTAGTTTTGAACCCATTTACCTTCCTATTTGTCATTTAAAGATAGAGCTTGGAAAATGTTTATAAAAAGTTCAAATTAAAATGAAGTTATATATGGTTGGAATAGCACTTTACCCTGAATGTTATTTCTTGACTCTTCAAGACTAAAGATCGTTTTCTAAAAATATATAACTAGTTATAAATATATGTATTTTTCATAGCATGATCACAGTAAAATTTTGTTTATATGGTTCTGCAATAGAATTTCTATAAACTTGTATATTCATGAAAATGGGCATAAATAATAGAGCTTTTTAAAGTTTGTGTAAAATATTTGGGATATTTGATTTTATACATGCATAAATTTGTAGGTTACATTCCTCTCTGGAGCAGCATTTTTGAAAAGCAGTAAGGAAAATATAAACTCTGGAGCAGTTAAGGCTCCATGTTTATTTTAAATTGAGTGATTTGTGGGAATAAGGTGTTTTGTGGAATCAATAACAAAATTATGGTAACTTAATTCAACATCTTAAGTGTCTCTTTATATCAGTGAGAGCTCTGTTTCAAAGTTGACAATATAAATACTGTAGATACTGTGCGCCAATGGGCCTTTTCGTTGTTCCAGATGCAGTTTCATTAATCAATTTAATTATTTACACTAATATTTTCTTATTTCAAAAGCATAATAAAATGAGTTTATAGTTATGTTTGGAAGAACATTTTTTTCTTGAACAAGGTGTTTGAATTGATAGAGTGGGCCTGTCTGGGTTGTGTTTTGATATTGGCATATAAAGGCGTGGCAGCAATCGAATGATTCCCGAAGAAAAAACTGTTTCTAGACTACCTCCTGTTGGCTACTCTGCTAAGCACTCCCTAGCATTGTCTCATTTGTGCTCCGTAATAGTCTATCGCCTATATTTATCTTTGTGTAGCTAAGGGGGTCTGATACTGGAGTCACCTCTTCCTTTTGTACCTTGTCTTTGTAAACAAAGGTTCAAAAAGACACTTTCCTGAAAAACAGGCACTTCCCCAGGCAGAGAAAATCCTTCAGAGTTTACCTGGGTCTTCCAGTGAGTATACATGGGAAGATTATAGAATGGAAACATGTTTTTCAATTTCATTCAATTATTTTTGGTTTGGGGATCTAACTGGCAATGCTCAGAGGTTTCTCCCAGCTCTCTGCTCAGGGGTCACTCCCACATGTGCTCAAGGGATCCTCAGTGGTCCAGGCATAGAAAGAGGGTCCTCTGCATGCCAGGCAGGTGCCTTACCCCCTGTATTATGGCTCTAGCCCCTGTAGACAGAGCATTTCAAAGACTTTTCCCCCCGAAGTTTGGTTCAATAAAGACAACTGCTTGCAAGCAGGGTATCTGGGACTCACAGGATCGCAAGGAATAGCATGTTGAGAACAGGAATCTTCAGAGCATTGGGGGAAAAGTTCAAAATCCACCACTCAACTTTAAAAAAGAATCATGTGAGCTATTAACTTGCAGTCAGGAGCCGTAGGAGCCATGTTTGACTTGACATATGACACAGCACTGCCATCTCCTGGAAATAGTGAGAACACTTCCCAGTAGGGGACACTGCCCAATGGCAGTCCAGCAGGAACCCTCCTCCCCAGCCTTAGTCAGCTGTTGTGTCCTCCTGCTGGTGCCCCTGTTTCTGATCAATACCTATCTCCCATCCTATATTTACCCTTTTCTTTTTACACACCTAGAGGATAAAGGGGCTGTGTTGGTTCTTATTTCACAGGGAGAAGAGTACAGACAGGGAAAGAGGTAAGGAGCAACATGGAACAACACAGGGGTATCTGTAATTGAGGGTTTCTGTCCTTCCCTCTTTTCTCCTCTTCTGCTCCTGTCTTCATGGTTCCCTTAACTTTTTCTTCCCTTTAGTTGGGGTTGTTTTGTTTTGCTTTGACCATGCTGGGGGGAGGAGGGCTTTTAAGCCCAGGCCTCACGCATCAAGCCATTAAAGCATGCCCTTTGCTGCCAAGCCACACCCTTTTCTTTTGGAGTGGGGGCACAGCCAGCTCTGCTGTTCTTATTTGGGGCTTACTCCTGGCTCTGTACTCGGTGATCACTCCTGGCAGGCTCTGGAGAGATCAAATGTGGTGCCAGGGATGCAACTCAAGTGGGCAGAGTGCAAGGCCCTCCCGCCCCTCTCCCCCTCCCCCTTCCTAGCTCTCCTCCCCCACCCCGATACAAACACCACCTGCAGACAAGTGTTAAGCTTGAAGCTGCAGATTCTTTCTTCCTGAAATCTGCTCAACAAATGATTTCTGTACACAAATGACCGGTAAGTCAATTTTTGTTAATTGGTTTTGGATTTTATGTTTCTTGCCATTTGTTTTGGTAAGAAAGCACAAGGTTGTGCAGATAATTTGATATTAAAAAAGGGGGGGGGGACAGAGAGGTGAAGCACCTGAGACTAGATCAATATTCAATGGAATTGGGGACTCACAGCCATGTTCCAACGTCAGTCTGGGGTGTCCTGAGAGACAGGTGATGTCCACACACCCCTGGGTGTGGGTATGATACATCTGTGCCCTCACCTGCTGTGCTGCTGGCCGGGCTGGCGTGCACCTCGCAGGGGCAGGAAGATGAACCCTTAGGACGTGCCCTGGGTTCTCACTGCTGAATGGCTCTTCCGCCTCCCCAAGATTTGCCTCCTCTTTTGCTGACTTACTCCGCATTTCAGATTGCCTACACCCAACGCTTGAAACAAGCCCCTCCATTTGACCGGGTCCATAATTTCTCAGGGCAGCCTTTCCAGGAGTTTTAGAGCAGCTGTTGATCATCATGTCAAAGGGCATTTGATGTTGACAAGATTCCTTTCATGATTCCTCCCAGTGAGTTTGGGATTTGTACAAATGGAAAACAGTGGTGGGTAACTTTGCTTATGGAATGTCTGTGCTAGGTTTTCCTGCAGGAAAACTCTGGAGGGTTGCTCCTAGGGTTCCACACTCATTCCAAATTTTAACACAATTTAGATAATACAGTAAAATCGCTAATGACTAGGTTTTAGAAGAAAATACCCCTGGTTTGAAAACCTTTCCTACCTCTTTATTAACTAGGGGGCCATGGGATGATGTAATCATTCTTAATTCCAATCAACTCCTATACAAAAGGAAATGATAAAAATGCCCATCCATGGGAATTTTGTGTGGATTTTATACAACACACTTAGAGCAGCACCTGGTATAGATTTACATCTGGTGTAGATGTATCACCGGAGTCAACAAATATGGCTAGCTCAGCATTCCTTCTTGGGTGTTTGAGTTGGTGTTGTCTGGGACATAGCGGGGACCGACCTATGGATGGTCTGTTCAACTCTTGTACTTTCAGCTCTTCCTTTCTACCTTCATTCATCTCTACCTTCATTCTCTTTTACCCTCTGCTCTAGGAATAGAAGCTTACATAGGAACGACTCATTACATTCTGTGTCTTCAGCGTCTAGCCCAAGTGAAGCACCCCACGCCTACTTTGTGGAGCTTACGAGAGGCACCGGTAGAACCCCAGGAGATGTAGCATTCCCGAAGTTTAGTCATCTTACCATCATTTTTTTTCTGGTGAATTTTTTTGGGGGGAGCGGAGAGGCTCACCGCTGGTGTTGCTCAAGGCTTACTCCTGGCTCTGCACTCAGGGGTCACTCCTGACAGAAACTAAGACATTTCAAAGTTTAAATTCATAAGACACATTGCAGATACTTGTGAATACTTTAATATGCACAGGAAAAAATAGTTGGAAAGATACATATCAAATTGTTGGGGATGTGAAATTAGAGAACAAGTTCTTATGCTTAAATTTAGATACTTATGTATTATTTGAAATCTTACCATCAAAATTACTTTTAGAATAATCCACAAACTAGAATAATCCAATAACCATAATAAAAATTTAAAATAAAAAAGTAACAAAAAGTAAAAAACACAAACAGATATTTAAACGCTACACTAGAGGTATAGAGAAGTAAATCACATGGCACACTTTCCCACTAAGCCAGTTGTGGTCAATAGTCTACAAAGAAATATAAGAGAAACACTTTTAAATTAAAAGTGTCCAATTAAAGAAGTCCCCTGGGATAAGAGCTCTGTAGACGTGACCCTTCAAATTAAACTGAAAGTCGGGTTTAAATATTCCAGGGAGAACAATCAATCTGAAAACTTCAGACAAAAGAAAAAGCTTCACAGAAGTAACTTTGGAATACTAAAACAGTTACCCAAAGGCCAGAAACTGTGGGCTTGAGAATTCAACTCAGTGCAAATCCCAAACTAAGAGAAATCTTCAAAGAGTAATGCCTGGAATCTTGGTAATCTAAGGATGTAGGTTCAGGCATCTACTTTGCCCGTTTGCTAATCATTTCCCCTAGTTTCTCAATTAGCTTGTCTTCCACATGAATGATAACCTAAAAATACTGTAATTTTAATTAGAGGGAATAAGTGGATTCTGTTTAGATTAGAACCAGAGAAACTTGAGACTAATGATTTTTCTTTATATTATTTCCCTTCCTGATAACTATTTTTTAGCTATTTAAGTGATTAACTGGAAGTGATTAACTGGAAGACAATACATCTGGTTTCTCCTGGGTCCCCAAACTTCTCTTTGAAAACATTTTTTTCTCATGGTCTACGTTTTTCTTCCCTCTTCTTACTGACATCAACAGAGACAAAAACTTATGAAATTCTTTCTCCTGACAAAGAGAAAGCTTTATACATCAACCAGAGAGTAGCAGGTATCATCTAAGTAAGTAACTATCTGGTTGATGGTTCAAGATCCTCATCAAAATCAGAACAACTGGAAGCACCTGTCTCTTGTGAGCCATATTAATTACAAGTTTCACTAACATAATTTTGCACTTCTTGGTTTAGGTATCAAAGGATTACATCGGATTACACTCACTGCATTTTAATCATTAAAATGGAGGAAATGGACAAATTAAAAAAAAAAAAAGAAAGAAAGAAAAAAAAAGTGTGTGTGGTTCCAGGGATGGAACCCAGGGCCTCACACATGTAAAACATTTGCTCTACCATTAAGCCACAGCATTGGCCCCAGAACATTTTATAAATAGCAGAAATCAAGAATATAACATCAAGGCCAGGCCATTTTTTAAAGTTATCACAGCTAAAATGTTGATGTTTCTCAATGGATTTTAGTACTTTTCATTAAAAAAAAAAAGATTCATCATGGTGTATGTTAAGTATTTAGCTCAATACACAACAGCCTGGTACACAATAGCCGTCCAATAGATTGGCTCAATGAACAACGGATTAAAACAAAGCCAAAAATGAGAATCCAAAATGGATGGAATAAAAAAAAAAAAGCTTAGAGTGCATAGTTAAAGTCGCAGTTCACATAGCGCAGCAAGGAATTCTTCATTTTCTGGATCCATCTTCTGGGCCCTTTCGTAGCACTCAGCAGCTCGCCTCCTCTCTCCCTCTAGCTTATACACAAACCCAAGGGCACTTAAACTCTGCACATCCGAATCATCGTGACCAAGTCTCTTGGAAGCCAGTTTCTTCAGAGAGCCTGTCAGTTTGGTGCGAAGGGAGGACCTATCTTTCACCTTTAAGGCTTCTAAATAATGGTGAATGGCAGTATTTTCTGATTTGCAGTGGAATTCCTGAAAGCGGCCATAGTGGTAGTGGATCTGATGCTTGTGATCATCAGTTATATTCTCCAGACGCAGGGCTTTCTGGAAAATGTCTTCAGCGTTGCTATACTGACCCCCTTCCGCATACATGTTGGCCAGGTCTGTGTAGGCAAAAGCAAACATCGAGTCTCGTTCCACGGCCGCTTTGAAATGAAATATGGCAGATGTGATCAGCTCGTCAACCTTCAGTTTATCTTTTCCTTTCGGCTTGTTGCGCGTGGCCTTCTTGATTTGAATCATTTGCGCCCTATAGCAAAGCCCCATTTGATGATGCAGGAAAGAAGAGGTCGGAGTCACTTCCAAAGCCTTTTTCAAAAGTTCAAGAGCTTTGTCCCAGGAGTTTTTTCTCCTGTAGAATTTGGCGGCATATCGAAGGACATAGGGCTGAGAAGCGATCTGGTCCAGGATTTCCTCAATATACTTCTCCCCCTCAGCTTCCGCATGTACATCCTGAAGCTTCAGGGCCAGAAAAACCTTAATGTAGGTGTTGTCTGGGTTCAGGGTAACAGCCTTCCTCAGGGGGCCCAGGGAAAAACTTTTGATGGACCCTTCCCTGTCAGAATCATCCAGCCGATACACTGTGATGGCATAGCCGATGTTAAATTCTGGATTGTCAGGTTCCACCTCCAGAGCCTTCTCAAAAGCCACTTTAGCCTTTTGGTAATATTTTCCTCCAAACTTTAAGAGTGCCCACCCTTTCTCACAGTCAATCTCAGGGCGCTCCAACTTGTAGCCGAAAGGACTGGACAGTTTCTTGCAGACGTCCCCTACCTTGTCTATATACCGCAAAGCTGTTTCAAGTTGGTCCATGTGGTAGTACACCCACGCGTAGTTTCCCCAAGTGACCAGACTTCGTACTTCTTCACCTGAATGTTCTCGCTGGATTATTTCTTCGGCTTGCTCCAAGCACACGAGGGCATCTTTATTTTGGCCTTTAAGGTGTTTCACATAGGCCAATAGGTTGTAAAGAGTAAGTTTGGACTTTGTGTTAAGAAATTCAAGCTGTTGCCCAATTGTATCCTCCACATCAAATAGATCAATGTCTTCCTTGAGTAAATTCCATGTGAAGTGGCATTCTAATTCCAACAGAATGGGCTTCAAGGAATCCTTAGGAATTTCACTGTCAAAGATAAGATAATTTTTAATTCTTAAATAAAGGGGAAAGTAATCATACTGTTCTTTGCTTATCAGCCAAAAACTTTGATCTCCTACTTGATCCTACAGAATTAAACTCCTGGAATTTCTAAACTAGTTTCTTCTGTGTATTTATGCCCTAGAAATATTATACTAAATTTTTATCAATTCTTGCATAACCAGTTCTGGAGAGATACAGTTTTAAATGTTACAAAGGCATCTATTTTCTTTTGGCAGTTACTAACCCATATAGACCATTTAGTTTTAGAAAGGTGAATTTAAATGTTGTATTTACTAGTCATGAAAATTAAGAATAATAACCAATAATTAACAGGAAAAATCCATTTTTACATAAAGCAGCGATGGGAGGTAAAAGGAGGAGAGATATAAGAAAAAGAGGTTCACTGAAAGAGAGAGGAACCACTCAAATACATAATTTTGCCAACGGGGGGAGGGAAAGAGAGAATAAATATACAGAGAGAAAAGGCATAGAAACAGAGGAACCAAGTAATGGAAAAAAGTGCTAAATTTGAGCTGGATGAAAAGAGAACAACAGAGACTTAGAGAAACAAGAGGAAAAGGTAAAAGTAACTTAGTAAGTATTGATCTAGTTGTCACATCCTTCTAACCATTTGGGTTGTGAGCAGCAATAAAGGCTAATAATACTCTTATTAGCTTGTCATTGCCCTTACTATTTACTTGACATTAAAAAAAAATGATCAAAGGACAGAACTGTACTTCCGTGGTCAATTTAATGTAGTACACAAATATTTTCATTTTCCCTGATGCCCACTGAAGCTTATATAATATTATAATGCAACGCTATTTCAATAACATTTTTAATAAAAATTTTTAAATGTTCATTGAATTCCCTCCTGGGAGACACAACATATAATCTCTGCATAGTTCACTGAGAACACTCTCTATATTTATTTACTTTTTTTGGTTTTGTTTTGAGGCCATACCCAGCAATGAACAGGATTTACTCCTGACTCTGCACTCAGAAATCACTCCTGGTGGTGCTCAGAGGACCATACGGGAGGCCAGTTGTTGATTAGGTCAGTTATGTGCAGGGCAAGCACTCTACCCACTGTGTTATCTCTCCAGCCCCAGAACCCAGAACCGTTATCTTTATTTTATTTATTTTTTATTGAACTGCTGTGAGATACACAGTAACAAAGTTGTTCTTGATTGGGTTTCAGTCAGACAATGTTCAAACACCCAGTCTTTTGGGACCATTATCTTTAAAAATAGGAAGGTAAGGTGGGGAGAAAGATAATTATTAAAGCATTACTGAGAGTCTTTGTGTGCAGAACCTTCTGAGTTACCTGAAGGATGTAACTGAAAGGAAGCCACAGTCCTTTTACAGGGCTGATACTGTAAGGGGACACTCAACACAACTGGAGTATATTCCAGTAAAGTTCTGCCACCCGTGAAAGATACCAGGTCCAGGGCTATGGGCATCTGTGGATTTTAATTGGTGAGGATTCCTTCCTTTGGTTTCTGTTTGTGGGACAACTTCACTCCCTATGTCCAGTCCCTATGATTTGAGAGGGGCTGTCATCCACACTCCACTCCAGTCTGCGCAGACATTCCAGTTAGTCCCTGCGCCCGCTGATTCATTCAGCAATGACATGTTTCTGAAATGGGACTTCAATGGAACACTCTCTTTTCCTTCGTTAAAAAAAAAAAAAAAGCTTTATAAGATAGGCACAGGGCTGCGGGTGGCCGTCTTTTCAAACTCTGCAGGAACGTCTGCTCATGAATGTGAAATAGAGAAAAACTGGACCAAGAGAAACAGATTTGCTCACATGCTATGTCCAGTCCTGCCTAGAACTTCATTTCCTCCCCCATCCTCAGTCTCCCCCCACACACCCTGCCCCAGGTCTGTCTGCAACTGACATAACTCTGATTTAAATATCTAGTTTTGGAACCAGAGAGATTGTACAGCGGTTGGGGCACTTGCCCTGCACGCGGCTGACCTGAGTTCCACCCCCGTATGGTCCCCTGAGCAAACTAGGAGTGATCCTTGAAGTCAGAGCCCAGAGTGACCTCTCCACCCAAAATACCTAGTTTGGCAGATGGTGAAGCAAAATGAAACTTTCTAAATCTACTATTGGCTGTAAGTAATTAAGGATTATAAGACACGTATATTATATATTATACATATATATTTCTACCAGAGAATGAACTGCTCCAATGATGAAGCAAACCATGAACTGACCGTATTCAATCCCCTTTATCTTTACACACAAAGTAATACAGGAACCCCCCCTAGCATGTACAACATAAATTACTTGTGTAAATGCTCATGGAAACTACAGCATACATATCAATAAACATGTACTGATCACCTCACCTCACCTCACCTCATACAAGTTAAGCACTGTTATAGTGTATATAACAGTGAAAAAAGAATGAGGCTCTTTCTTATTCTACTAAATTCATAGTATTTCTGTATTCTAGCAAATTCATAGTATTTCCATTCTGGAACCAGTGGGAACAAAGGCTCGTACAAAATAAATACATAAACAAATTAATGATAGCATAATTCTAGACAGAGATACCTGTTACAAAGGTCGAGTGATAAAGCGGCCGTGCGGAATTGGAAAGCGGTGACTGAAGTGAGATCTAAGCAACCAAGAGAAGGCAGACCTAGAGCTGAAGGGAAGTTGCTCCAAGTCAGTGCTCCTCAACTGGGATAAATCTCTGGTAAATAACACTAGTGTACTTATTTTTCTTTTAGTGCCTTTCTTAAGAATTACTGAATCACTATGAGATACCCAGTCATAAGGTTTTCACAATTGGGTTTCAGTCGTATAATGTTCCAATACCCACCCCTTCACCAGTGCACATTTCCTACCACCAATGTCCCCAGTTTCCCTTCTGCCAACCTCCCCACCCACCCCCCAAACCCCCCACCCCAATAACAGTAAACCGTTGCCTTCGAGCAGAAGAGACAGTCTCGTGGTGCTACCCTGGCATGCAGCTGACCCAGTCTTGTTCCTGGCACCCCATATGGTCCTCCAAGCCTGCCAGGAGTAATTCCTGGATGCAGAGCCAGGAGTAAGTAACCCCTGGAGACTGAGAGCCAGGATTTAAATTACATGTCCAAATTTACACAGCTATTAAGTGATTAAGTGATTAAGGCTGAGAAAGCAATGGTTTCAAATAAGACCCTCAATCAAAAGTCACATCTACACCGCGGAGTTGTACTGAGATGGGGTGACAGAAGGCTGCAGGGCCTCACCCTGACCCGGTGAGGCACTCTGGCCAACCCAGCTAGGTTTGGTGGGAGTTTCTGTGAGCTCTTGCTCTCTAAGAACTGCTAAGCTTGCGACTCTAAGTGATGAGACGCAGCTGAGCACTGGAGCAGGGAGATCATGATCACAAAGGCTGCCTGCAGAGAGGCAGGTGTTTTTCCTAGCTTTGAAGTAATAGAATTAAAAGTAACATTAACTTTGCTTTCACTCCTGCTTCTGTGAGCTTGCTTGCCCAGGGCACAGAAGAGGAAACTGAGCTGTTCCGCTCTAAGTACTCCAGGTGTCAACCCTGCGGAATCCATGCCTACAGGTCTGACAAAGCTGTTTTCCCTGAAGCCCTTGGTGTCTTGAAACTCCCTTGGAGATTTCGCTCCAGTGGCGCTCCTGGATGGAGCACGGCTGACTTCTCACGGGGGAGCAGCAGAAAGGCTGATTGGTGATTCTCTTAAACAGTAAAAGAGCTGGCTAAAACAGAGATTAAAAGGAACTGGAAGGAAAGGCGGGCATCTTAGTTATCAAAGATCTCATCACTGTCGAGTGAATGAAAATACTCTTCACCTCACAAGCTAATTAAAGACTTTTTGATGTATACTTTGATAGTCTTGATATGTGTTTCTTCTATCTCTAATCTCGCCCCTGAATCCTAATCTTATCTCAACTTACTGCACATCTTCCATTAGAAATTCAGTTGACATCGCAAATACACCCAACGGAGAAATCTGGGTTCTTACAGTCTGTTCCTCCCTTCGTTTTTCCCACCTTCACTGGCGCCTCTTACTTCCTCAGACGTTGGACTAGGAACAGTCGTTGATTCCTCTTCTCTCAGCTCCACATCCAGTCTAAGAGGACACCCTGTTACTTCGATTACCCCAACACATCCGTTTTATTCTCCACTTCCATTAACTGTCCTAAGCTAAGCCACAGTTGACTTCCCTGTAAGAGCAGAAAGCTATTCTCTCTGCTTCCAGTCTGGGTCCCTGGATAGCACTACTAAGTTTCTCTTTTCCTTTCTTTTTTTCCTTCCTGGTGGTGCTGGCAATCAATCCCTGGGCTCATACATGCAAAGCATGCACCTTACCACTTGATCTACATCCTCCGTGCCCGTACTACTAAAACTTTGAAAATGTAAACCAATTACTTCTCCAGTGGTCACCTGGTATATATTTAATAGTTGGTTCACATGTTTTTCTCACTGACATTTTTCTCATTCTGTGAATGTAAACCAAATTATTTTACTCTCCCACTAAAAATGTCCTTAGATAACAAATCCTTTGGGCTGGAGCAATAGCACAGCGGGTAGGGTGTTTGCCTTGCACATGGTCGACCCAGGTTTGATTCCTCCGTCCCTCTCAGGGATCCCAGCAAGCTACCAAGAGTATCTCGCCCACACGGCAGAGCCTGGCAAGCTTCCTCTGCCAAGCTTCCGTGGAGTGGCGTATTCGATATGTCAAAAACAGTAACAACAAGTCTCACAATGGAGATGTTACTGGTGCCCGCTCAAGCAAATCGATGAACAATGGGAGGGCAGTGCTACAGTGCTACCTCTGGGAAATCAATTAGTGTCTCAATAGAAAGCTCCCAAATGTCTTCGTGTATGAATTCAGCATTTGTCAGGCCCTACACACTCCTAAGGGAACTTGGTCTGGTTTCATCAACATTCTAACTGTTCTGCTCGGTCCTTGGCATTTTCGGACCCAGTGGCTTTCCTGTCTTGAGCATATCAAGTTCAAGGCCTTTTCCACCTGTTGTTTTCAGTCAGCCTGGAATGCTCTGCTCCTGAATCTTTCCATGATTAACTCTTTAACTCAGCTCAAAGACTCCCTACTGAAGAGCTGAGTCTGTGACAACTACCTAAAATAGCTCCCTCAGTTCTAGATTGCTCTCTTGGCCCAATAAACTATTTTATTCTCCTCAGAGCTCCTATCACTTTCTAAATTACACTGATCATTAATTCAGTTATCAGTTATCTCTCCCACTTAAACATAAGCTCCTTTGAGAATAAGAAACTTGTTCTAATAAAGTAACAAAATAGGAGACTAACATCCAAGAGTGGCTGAGATTAGTACCAGGAGTTTTGCTCCATGGCTTGGAGGCCAGCCACACATTCTAGGGGAAAAGGGAGCTCAGATAGAGAAGGGAGCACCAAATAAAGGGTGTTGGGAGGATCCTCCCAGGATGGGAGAAGCATGCTGAAAGTAGACTACAGACCAAACATGACTGCCACTCAATGCCTCTTTTGCAAACCACAACACCCAAAAGGAGAGAGAGAACAAAAGGGAATACCCTGCCACAGAGGCAGAGTGGGAGGGGAGGGGGGTGGGGGGAGAGGGATACTGGGGCCCGTGGTGGTGGAAAATGGGCACTGGTGGAGGGATGGGTATCTGATCATTGTATAATTGAAACCCAAGCACAAAAATTTGTAAATCTACAACTGTACCTCATGGTGTTTCACTAATGTAAAAAAAAAAAAAAAAAACTTGTTCTGATTTTTTTGTTGTTGTTATTCTCCTTTGTATCCACTATGGGTTATTCCAACTTTCTAACAGAAGCTCAGTAAATATTTGTGTAATGATTTTTTGTTACATCCTGGAGGCTCCAGTCCAGAGGAAGAGCTAAACTTAACAACAAAAACAAAAACAAACAACAAAGAACCCTGCTAGTTCTTCCCTTCCTGCTAAAGGCTCCAAATGCGTCCCACTTCAGTTCTCGAGGCGCCTGTTTTTGGGTCTTTTTGCTCTCGGGCTCATGTCTGAATACTGAAAAGATTTGGGGGCTGTTTCCTAAGAAACTGATGAGGACACCTGGCATGACTGTCCCCTGAGAGTTACTCCTTTCTCTGGGGCAACTGCACCAAATCCTTGGGAAGTCATGCCACGCCCTGCCGAGCTGGCACAGATGTCTGGCAGCATGGGCGAGGGGTGCCTGCACGGCCAGAGTGAAAGGTGCATCTGCCTCTAAAACCTCCTCCCAAGAGAAGCAGCTGTGAGGACCTGGCTGAGCCATCTTCCACAACGCACTGAAGGGCTTTGCCAGACTCGAACTGACATGAGAAATTTTACTCCGAAGTCCTTTGCTTGGGGTTGGGGATGAGGGTGCGGAGAGGCACAGCCGGCGGTGCTGAAAGGCTTAAGCAAGAGCCTGAACCGCTGGACTGTTTCTCCGGGCCCTAAAATGCTTCTTCCCCGCCGCCCTGCCTCTGGGAAGCAGCGCAGAGAAGGCCACCCCGACCGGAGGGGCATCCCCCGCCCCCGCGCGTCTCCTCGGGCATCCTGCCTAGCAGTCGCCGTTCACTGTCCCTGGGAGACCACGAAGCCCCGGGGCGTGCTCCCCCCCATCAGGACACACACAGCGCGCCCCGCTCCTCGGCGCCTTGCCTTCCCTGGGCGCCCCCACTTTCGGGTGGCACAGGAGGGGGAGCCCGGCCTCCTGCTCTCGCGCTAACCCCGCACGTCGGCGGTGCGCGGCGCTTCACCCCCGCCCGCTCGCCCTCTCCGGGGTCCTTTTCCGAGCTCCCGGGGGAGCCGACTTTGAAGCCCCCCCACCCCCTGGCCCGTCGGTGCCCGGGATGGGGGGCGCCCCGGAACAAAGAGCGCCGGGCTGCACCCTCATTCCTCCACTCGTTAAACGCCAACGCTCGGCCGAGCGGGCGGGAGGCTGGTCCCCGCCGAGGAAGGAAACCGGGGGCGGCGGTGGGGGGCGGCCCGGGACCCCCGGCCTAAAGGGGGCCGCGGAGGGGGGCGGCGGCGGAAGTGAACTCGCGGGGTGCACCCGCAGGAGGCCGCGGCCCCGGGGCCCCGTCCCCCCGCTCCGAGGCGGCGGCTCGCAGGCCAGGGAGGCGGGCGGGGGGCCGCGGGCGCCGAGGGGCCCCGGGACGGCCCCGGGTGGGGGGCGCCCGGGAGGGGCGCGGGGCCCGCGGGGGGCTCACCTCATGGCGGCGGCGCGGCGCGGTCCCTCGGGCTCGGCGGCTCCGCGGTCCCGGCGGGCGCGCGCGGGGCGGGGGCGGCGGGCGCGCGCTTCCCACGCGGTGGCGGGCCCGGGGCTTTGTGGCCGCGGCCGGGCGGGAACGGGGACGCGGGGAGCGGATCCCCGGCGAGGCGGGGTCCGGCCCCGGGAACGGAAACTTCCCGCCCCTCCCCCAGCTGGGCCGGCGCTCGGGCGGGCGCGCGGCCGGAGCGCCCGGGAGCCCCGCGCCGACGCGCTGCCGGCTCCACTCTGCCCCCGGCCCCTCCGAGCCCACTTGACCGTTCCTCTTCCCTCCTTTGTCTGGGTTCGCTTCTTGGGGGGCCAGCAGGGGGCACCCAGCGGCGCCTGGGGGGCTGCTCGCGCCTGGGGCGGGTGGGGGGCCGGGCAGGCCTGGGGCGGGCTGCCTGCAGGGCGAGGAAGGGCCCTCGCCGCCGCGCGCTCTAGGCCCCTTCCTCTCCGAAAAGTAAACCGGGACTGGAGTTGTCTGCGAATTTCTTTTATTGGGGGGAGGGCTCCAACCCCCGCGATGCCAAGGCTTACTCCCGGCTCTGCCTTCAGGGCATTACGCCTGGCGGTGCTCCGGGGACCACATGGGATGGGGGAGAGCCAGCCCAGGTTGGCTGTGTACTGGGCTGCCCGCTGGCCCACCGCCAGGTCCACGAATGGAAGGGGTGGGGGTCGGGGAGTGGGGGCAACCGATCCTCCTTTTTCAGCTTTCTGTCTCCTAAATGGAACCGGAAGTCCCGGTCTTGATGCCTTCACATTGCAATATGTACCCTAATTTCTGTAAATCTAGACGAATGTTTGGGTCAAAGTATATATTTAAATTTTTTGTTTTGCCCACAGCACCCAAAAGGAGAGAGAGAACAAAAGGGAATGCCCTGCCACAGAGGCAGGGGGGATGGGGGAGGGGATGGGGGTGGGAGGGATACTGGGATTCGTGATGGTGGTGGAAAATGGACACTGGTGGAGGGATGGGTACTTAATCATTGTTTAATTGAAACCCAAGCACAAAAATTTGTAAGTCTACAACTGTACCTAATAAAATTTTTTTTAAAAATTTTTGTTTTGCTTTGGGGACAAAGTATATATTTAAATTGTGATTGATATTACCGAATATTTGGCTAAGAGGTTGACACCCTCCCCAACCCCATCTGCTCTCTTATGTATGACAACTCTTGCCTTCAGGAAGTGGCTCTGCTGAGAAAACTTTCTGCAATTGCATCCCCATGCAAATGGAGCTGATACTGTAGGGAAAGCATCAACTGCTCCTTTCCTAAAAATTTCACCCCCTCTAAATTCAATCATCTTTCAACAAGTTGTATGGAACAATTAAGGGCAAGACCTTTGAGGTACTATCAGTGCAGCGATGAACGAAGTCTAGGGACATCCTTTAGTAGAGTTCATTTCTAATGTGGAGCTCAAGAAGAAATGCAACTTTATTTCAGATGGTGCTATGGAGAATAATCAGGGGGTTTTGGTTAAAAATAAGTTGGCAAGGATAAGTTTCACGGGAGACCATGGCAATGGAGTAAATAGCCCGAAGAATGAAGTAATCTCAAGGGCAAGGAGGAGTGAGCACTTCTGAGGAGGGACCCAGAAAGACTCCTCTGGTCAAAAGGAAAAGCAAAGACCTGAAACTGGAAGCACCCTCGGTTTGTGTGGGTGATTGGTTGGAGGCAAAGAGGCAATGTGGACTTTACCTATTGTAAAGATTCACTAAGACACAATGCCACATTAGAGACAGCATTGAGGTTCTGAACCCAGAATCTCCTCCTTACTAAGAAATACTCAGAGCTTTGGTTTGAAGCCATTTTCTAGTGTGTTGTTCAGAGTTTGGTGGTTTTTTTTTTTTTTTTGAGGGGGTGGGGGTGTGAGGAAGGTTGCTTTTGGGATCACACCTGGTGATACTCTGGAGTTACTCCTGGCTCTGCACTCAGAAATTACTCCTGGCAGTGCTCGGGGGATCATATGGGATTCCAGGAATCAATCCCATCTTGGCTTCGTACAAGGCAAACGCCCTATCCGCTGTACTATTTATTGCTCTGGCCCCCAGGTTTTTCTCCTAGTTCTTACCTTCCTTCTTCCTTCCTTCCTTCCTTCCTTCCTTCCTTCCTTCCTTCCTTCCTTCCTTCCTTCCTTTGTGTCTGTTCTAAGAGATAGTCTTTATTGAAGTTAATAAGATTTTGTATAGAATAGCCAATCAACAACAAGAAATCAAAGCGAAAAAATATTCTAGTTATCTACATCATTATTTAGGAATTCTAGATCAGAAAGATTAAACCCATCTGTAGAATATTTAAGGGAAATAACATTTTCAGGATTGAGAAGGTGTGAAGACTTCAGTGTGGAGTGGGGATTAGACATGCTAAAATTAGCACTACATGTAGCACTGTCCTCCTATTGTTCATCGATTTGCTCAACCGCGCACCAGTAACGTCTCCATTGTGAGACTTGTTGTTACTGGTTTTGGCATGTCGAATACACCATGTTGTTACTGGTTTTGGCATGTCGAATACACTATATTCTTGCCAGGCTCTGCCATGTAGTGGGATACTCTCAGTACAGGCTCTCCAAGAAGGAACGGAGGAATCGAACCCGGGTCGACCACGTGCAAGGCAAACGCCCTACCCGTTGTGCTATCACTCCAGCCCAAATAATTTTAGCATTATCAGAACTTACTAATGCTAAAATTACTAGATGAAATTTGAATACGAGACTTCACACTCACACACACAAAACTCTTGGATCAGGTACATCCTTGGGAAAGTCGGTTGTTTTTCACCTTTTAATTGTGTCCCTATCAACATGTAAAACACTGCAACTAGGAAAAAACTTGGGGGGAGGAGTGAAAGTGAAACAGCAATGAATCTAAAGTTGGTTTGGGAAATTGAAACTCAAATAATTGGTAGGTACTCCCAATAGTAGAGTTTCTGAATAAACACTTTATTAAAATAATGGGTGTGGGCTGGAGTGATAGTATAGCGGGGAGGGCGTTTGCCTTGCACACAGCGGACCCAGGTTCGACACTCCCCCACTCCCCACCCCACCCCCACCTCCACCCCCACCCCCATCCCATATGGTCCCCTGAGCAGCCAGGAGTAATTCCTGAGTGCAGAGCCAGAAGTAGCCCCTGAGCATTCCCGGGTGTGACCCACACACACAAAAAAAGGGTGTAAATTAGGGTTGCTCTATTTTGGCACTATTGATATTTGGGCTGGATGATTTGCTGTGGGATTATGTAGCACTGTGAAACATGGGCCGTGTAAGTGCATTCTTGCATATGCCCACTAGGTGTAAGTAGCACTCTGCAGCTGAGATGTTAGCACTAGCCCCAAATGCAATCTCCTTTTAGAGTCCAGGGTCAGAATCCTTCCACCAGCACCGTTCACAACCCTATAGCCCCAATTGAGACTTACTGCTGGAAATAATTCCCTTGAACTTGAGTTGGGAAAAGGAAAAGTTGAATACTGATCAAAAGAAGTTGGAGATGGGACTTGATGGAGTTGGAGGAGTCCCGAGTGAAAGGGAAATGTTAAACAAGGACTATATTCTTAAGCATGGGACGTCAGAATATAGGTTGTTTATCTCTGTTGGTCTGGCTCGGGGCCACACATGGTGGTGGTCAAGGCTTACTCCTGGCTCTGTGCTCAGGGTTAATTCCTGGTGGTACTCAAGGGACCATGTATGGGGAATTGAACTGCTAGGTGTGTGTAAGGCAATTAACCCTATCTCTATGACCCCTGGATTGTATTAGTGGTTTGAGAGTCTTAGTCCCAATGCAGTTCCACCTCTAGCTGTATCACAATTCGCTGATAATTTTTTACTTTCAACGTTTCTAACCCTGGGAAATTAGACAGCAGTTATGTTGCAAGTGCACAGACAGACCGGCATGGCAGATAGGGAGGCCATGGCAACGGGGATTAAAATGAGTTGACACTGGTGTCCAGGAAGATCTTCAAGAAGCTGGAGCCTACGGTGATATGTACATAGAACTTAGCAAAAACCTGGCTTAGAGCACCTCTAACAGTAATGAATGTGGGGATCTGTTGCTTGATCTGATTTTAAAGTATGTGAGAGACACTGCTTGGGCAACTTGGAGAAATCCCTGGGAAGGAGGAATTCTAAATAAGGCACCAACTGAGGCTCTATCCATCATTTTCATGGGAGTAATAAAAATCTTGAAATTCAAACTGTTAATTTAAAGAGACCTCTTAATTATCATCCAACTTTGGTGACAGTATTTTCAATATCAAAGAAAATTTGTGCACCTGAATCTGCAAGTACATAGCCTGTCACACACTTTTTATTTTACTGAGCCCTGGGAAGTAAATAAATTTCTTCCAGAGTTGGGAAAGATATGACAGAGAGGTAATATTAAGTTGTAATAGACAGACACTCAGTCCAGGACTCACGCACGAGTGAAGCCCCAGAGAGCCAGGGAAGCAGAACTCTGTGACCTCGAACTCCAGACCTAATGGACCCAGGAACAGAGATCCTCTGCCTGCTCCCAGCAGCCCAGCAGACCTCCATTACCTCCACTACCTTCACTACCCAGCCGTGGACGCCCTTCAGGATGCTTTCTGGACCCGCGATACATCATAAATCACTTAATACAAGATTACTGCACCATATTTGAATGCTTTGAAATGTGATTTGAAGCATGGGAACACCTGTAAGGGAGATTAGAGGCTGCCATAAAAGCCTCTATCCCTCTCGGAGAGCCTGGCAAGCTGCCGAGAGTGTCCTACCCACACAGCAGAGTCTGGGAAGCTATCTGTGTTGTATTCGATATGCCAAAACCAGTAAATACAATGGGTCCCATTCTCCTGACTCTGAAAGAGCCACCAATATGGCAGCATTAAGAAAGATGAGGAAGGAGAGGCTCATAAAATCTCAGGGCTGACCTAGGCTGCCAAAACGAAGAAAGACTAAAATGACTGTCTGTACTTTCAATGCACGTACACTGGCATCGGATGCGTTCACTGAGGACCTGATGGTGCAAGCGCAAAAGATCAAGTATGACATCATTGGTCTGACCAAGACGAGAAGGCATCAATCACATCACACTGTTCTCGACACTGGGGAAGAACTGTTCCTTGGAACATGCGACAAAAAAGGTGTCGGTGGTGTCGGTGTCCTTGTCAACATGAACTTAGCCATGAGCATTGATTCATTCGAATGCCTAACAACCCGAATCGGACAATTACACTTGAATAGATTAGCCACAAGCCACGTTGGCGAATAAGCTTGAGAGTTTTCGAAGATAGGCATTTTTTTGTGGTTATCTCTCTCTTGGCGTTCCTCGCACAATCATGGAGGTGCTGAACCAGTCGATCGTATTCCTCATCAATGTTGTCAATGACAGCATTTTCCCATGTTGCTGCAACAGAGCCAAAGAGCTCCCAGTTGGTGGTCATTCTGGGAGTTCTCTTCTTAAACTTTGCATTCCTTTCTCCCCGCTCTGTGAAGTAGAATTTTTCACGAAGGAGACGGTGGTCCAATCCCGTTTGGAATTTTGGGACAACAGCTACATCGGTCAGGCAAGACCCTCTATTGAATATGATGTGGTCAATTTTGTTATGGAACCGTCTACCGGGAAACTCCCATGTCCAACGTTTAGATTCGGCCTTCTGGAACTGTGAGTTACCATGGATGGTCTTGGTCGACATGATGAACTCAGACAGTTTCTCACCCTGTTTGTTCCATTCTAGGCCATGGGTCCCAATGTGGAGTTCTTCGGCTGATCTTCTCGGTCCTATCTTGGCATTAAAATCACCAACAATGATCTTGTAGAAGGTGTGGTCTTCTTTATAGAACTTCTCCAGCTCCATGTAGAACTTCTCAATTTCTCTTTCACCATAATTGGATGTTGGTGTGTAGACAACGAAGATAGAAACTGCCTGCAGTGAGCCACATCTATTCAAGTGTAATCGTCTGATTCGGGTTGCTAGGCATTCGAATGAATCAATGCTCATGGCTAAGTTTGTGTTGACAAGGACATCGACACCACTGATGCTTCTTTTGTCGCATGTTCCAAGGAACAGTTCTCCAGTGTTGAAAATGGTGTGATGTGATTGATGCTTCTCATCTCGGTCAGACCAATGATGTCATACTTGATCTTTCACGTTTGTACCATCAGGTCTTCAATGGATGCATCAGATGCCAGCATATTGCATTGAAAGTACAGACAGTCATTTTAGTCTTTCTTCATTTTGGCAGCCTAGTTTGGCCTTCAGATTTTATCAGCCTCTCCTTCCACATCCTTCTCAATGCTGCCATATTCAAGGTCAGGGGAATGAGATTCATTGTATTTACTGGATTTGGCATATTGAATACACCACGGATAGCTTGCCAGGTCATGATAAGAATATGAAAAAAGACCATCCAGATTTCCCAGCTCTCCCCCTCAGCAACACCCTAGGAACAGATTCTATGTAGAAAGCCCCAAGTGGACACAATTTGGGAAAACTCCATAAAACTAACCTTAAGAGACAAGCTGGTACATCCCCCACTGGGGGCTGCCTGCATGTCAACCTGAAATATGTACTATTGGCTTTGTTCCCTCCGAAAAGCCCATGTTTCCTCTGTGTTTTTCTCTCCCTCATATTTCCTGAATAAAGATATATCCTTTTTTTGAGGGGGGGGTCACATACGGCGATGCACAGGGGTTACGCCTGGCTCATACACTCAGGAATTACTCCTGGCAGTGCGCGGGGGACCATATGGGATGCTGGGAATCGAACCCAGGTTAGCCATGTGCAAGGCAAACGCCCTCCCTGCTATGCTATTGCTCCAGCATATCTTACTTCACCTTTTGCCTCCTCTCTGAAGTACATTTCCGCAAGGATGGATAACAAACCTGGAATCTAGGGAAACTGAGAACCTGGGTGGAGAGAAGAACTGACTTTCCTACAAAGAGTCATCTCTCCCTCCAGCCCAAGATCATGGCCCCCAGAGATCTGAAGCAGTTTCCATGCATCACGATCATGTGGATTTCAGAGCAGCTGGACAGCGGCCCAGTGGGGCTGGTGGGATGCTAGTGTCCATGTCAGAGAGTACTCTGGTAGACTTTGTCAATTTGATCCCTACCCATCCAGGCCTTTCCCCCGGTGACCACGGTGAGTCCAGCAAGAAGACAGTAACTCTGCCCCTCTTGAGGCTTCTTCCTCCCTCACGCCACACTTCACCTAGGTCCCCTGCATCACTGGATGAGGCAGATACCCAGGAACCAAAAGACTATGATGTCAAGAGACATTAGGATACCTACTTCATTTGATGGGTTCCTTTCTGCACCTACAACAGATTGGCTTATTTTTCGCAACATTCAGCCTCCTTTCTACATTTTTTGTGGGGCTGGGGTGGTCACACCCAGCTATGTACAAAGGTTACTCCTGGATCATGCACTCAGGAATTACTCCTGGCAGTGCTCGAGGGACCACCTGGGATGCTGGGAATTGAACCCGGGTCGTCCATGTGCAAGGCAAATGCCCTACCTGCTGTGCTATTGCTCCAGCCCCTCAGCCTCCTTTCTAAAACACAAGCACTTTTAAGTTAAAGTTATTTTCTTTTGTTTAATCTAATAGATGTCCTATTTCAGCAATAAGAAAATTGGAATGATTGCTTCCATGTAACTCAGATGCCTGCCTTTTAATGACATGAATTTTACTTACTCCAAGTCCTATAGAATTTCAGTGGAAGCCCAGAGTGCTGCCCAATATTTCTGTGAATGTTGAGAGGGCTTTCTGTCACATAGATTAGAGGTTGTTACCAAGAATTTAGGCAATTCCTAAAAATTTAAAAATGTTTTTCAAGGAGGAAAATCTTTGTTTTGAAGAGACTATATCAACACCTTGGTTTTGGTTTGTTAAAACTCATTTCAGACTTCAAACTTCTAGAACTATAAAATATGGATTTTAACCTCCAGATTTATGACAATTTGTTATAGACTCATAGACTCGGTAGGAAATTCATACATTCTCCCTGTCCAAACATAAATGAAAAACAGTAACAATTACTTGCCTGTTCTTCCATTTTAAAGTTAATCATTGTTTTGTATTGCCTTTTAACATCATAAAAGGTGACCTCAGGGGCCAGATCGATAGCACAACACGTAAGGTGTTTGCCTTGCATGCAGCTGACCCAGGTTCAATTCTCAGCATCCCATATGGTCCCCCAAGCACCACCAGGAGTAATTTCTAAGTGCAGAGCCACAAGTAACCCCTGAGCATGACCAAGTGTAACCCCAAAAGCAAAATTAAAAAAACAAACAAGCAAACAAGTAATCTCAGTTCATTCAGCACCCATAATCTACTAGAGTGATACTACCAAGTGACTGAATAAATAGTGCTTCAAACCACATGGCTTCAAATATTGAAAAAGTGTTTCAAATAAAATGAGACCATTGGGAACAATCTGCCAATAAATTAAACTTCAAACTCCTTCATGTAGAAAACTCACCTTTAATTGACTGGGGAACCTCTTTTAGTATCTTGTCTGTCACATGTCTTCTCTCTGGGAGAAATATCTGCTTTTTTTACCGAGAGTAAGCAGACTCTGCCATCCCAAAGGTAACTGAGAAACAGATGTAAAAAAAAAAAAGTCCCTGCCCTTCTCATGTTTCAAAGCAGGACAGACATTTGTCATAGCACAGCGGCAGGGCATTTGCCTTGCACTCAGTCAGCTCGACTGAGCCCAGTTCAATTCCTCCGCCCCTCTTGGAGAGCCTGGCAAGCTACCAAGAGTATTCAATATGTCAAACACAGTAACAAGAAGTCTCACTGTGGAAACGTTACTGGGCCCGCTGGAGCAAATCGATGAACAACGGGAGGACAGTGTTTGTTTTTTGTAACACTTCCAGAGAAGTCTATACAACAAACCTCACTAACTTGGTTTCCTTTCTATTAGTTTTACCTTTCTACAATTTATCATGCTAGAAACTCAGTTATTTCATTTCATCACTTCAAATGTATTCTTCAAATGTATTATTTATTATTAAGATGCTACTTAAGACCAAATTGTAACTCCCTCTTGATTTAGTCATCCTTGAGTATTCTCATAGCTATGTATGTGATGCCTGTCTTAATAAATTTCTGTCTATTTTTTGTCAGTTTACACTTACAGGGCTCAGTCAATGAACCTAATGTAGAAAGAGGAAGAATAAAAATTTCCTCCTTACATCACCATTGTATTTGGGGTATCTAGCACAGAAAAGTGATTGTTGATTTAAAAAAAAAAACAGAATTTATTGAGGGGTCAGGAACTAGTAAAGCAGTTTGGGCACAAGCCTAGTATATACCAGACCTGGATTTGATTCCTGGCATCACATGTCCCCCGGCCACTGGTGGATGCATCCCTGAAGACCAGCACCACAGGGTCAGAGCAGAATCTTATCTGAGCTCTTGACTGACCTTCCATCCAGTCAGTTGATAATCACCAGTGGAAACCCCATGTCTCCCGAGCCCCATTTGGGATGCCCCTTCTCCATATATATTTAAAATGAAATGAATTAAGCATTTTAATTTTATGTAGTTATCATGTTTTATTTGTTAGGAGACTACCCAACACATAGTTTTTACTATGTAGAATTCACAAAGAAGTGGTTCCTCTCTCTTCCAGACACAGAGACAGGGGCATTCTACCTCACTATCTTCTACATCCAGCTGTTTTACATCAAGTTTGAATAATTGCTAAACATTTACACCATTGCAGGGAATTGCATAATATGTTTCTAAAAGCAACGAGAGAAAAGATGAATTAGTATGTGTTAACCTGAGATCAAATGGACTGTGAAATACCAAATGAGCATCACAGCTTCGGAACCTTCAGTTCGTGTCCCACAGATCTCTCCTGGCCGGCAGCCAGCTCCAGGGCTCGCTCATAGCTCTCCAGGGCCTTCGTGATTTCTCCTCTCTGCTTCTGCGCGAACCCAAGGAGGCACAAGCCTTCCACATCAAATTCATTTTTCTGAAGTTTCTTCAAGACACATTTCTCTAAAGCACTGATACTTTCATCTCTAGAAAAAGATGGTTTCCCTATTTTCACCGCTTTTAAATAATGGATAATTGCATCTACTTCAGATTTCCTCTGAAATTCTTGAAATTTGCCATATCGGTGATGTATCTGTTGCAGGTCTTCTTCTGTGAGTGATTTCAGGTTTGACACTTTTTGGTAGGTGTCCTCAGTTTTGTTGTACTCACCAATTTCTATGTAAATTTCTGCCAGGTTTAGGTAAGCAGTCACAAAAGTGGGCTTGTGTTTCAGAGCAAACTTCAAATGATCTATAGCTATTCTTGCCAGTTTTTCAATGTTTTCTCTATTCTGCCCTCTGGACTGCCAGCGTGTGACCTTTTTATATTGGATGATTTTTGCTTTGTAGCAAATCCCTATCTGGTGATGCACTAAGGCAGAGGAAGGTGTGTCCTTCAAGGCCTTTTTTAAGAGCTGAAGAGCTTTATCCAAAGAGCCCTTTCTGCGGTGGAAGTTGGCTGCGTACCGAAGGATGTAGGTATGCGAGCCCTTACTGGCTAGTGCTTCTTCAATGTACTTTTCTCCTTCATCTTCTCGTCCTAAGTCCTGAAGACACAGTGCTAGGAGAACCTTTAAAGATACATCTTCTGGATTTAATCTGATGGCCTGCTCTAAGGGGTGCAGACTATCTTTCAGCGTGGACAGTTTTCTCTCTACTCTTCTATTGATGCGGTTCAGGCGGTAGGTGACGATTGCATACCCCGCACTGAATTCAGGGTTTTCAGGGTCCACTTCTAAAGCCTTTTCAAAGCAAACCTTGGCTCGTTCATAATTATTTCTTCCACATTTCAGCAAGGCCCATCCTTCCTCACAATCGAGCTCTGGACACTCCATCCTGTATCTGAAGGGACTTGCCAACTTCTTGCATGTCTTCTCTACCTTGTCCAGATAAGTCTGGGCTTCTCCCAGCCTGCCCATGTGGTGGTACAGCCAGGCATAGTTGCCCCAGGTGACCAGACCTCTCACATCTGATTGGTCAGCGAATTCTGGCAGCAGGAAGTCTTCAGCTTCTTTCAAGCTCTCCAGGGCTTCCTGATTCTGGCCTTTCAGGTGTTTCACGTAGGCCAGCAGGCTGTACATTCTCGTATTGCACTGGACATCTAGAAACTCAATCTGATCAAAGACCCTGTTTTCTAAATCAGTCATTTCAGTGTCATCAATTTGCAAGCCCCATGTAAAGTGGCACCTCAGCTGAAGTAGGCACTCTTTGATGAGATTCTCATTGGATCTGTCACTGTAAACAAGAATTAGAATTTTTTAAAAAATTTTTTAATTAATCACCATGAGATACAGTTACAGACTTACAAACTTTAGTGATTACGTTTCAATCATACAATGATCTAGTACTCATCCCTCCACCAGTGCCCATTCTCCACCACCAACGTTCCCAGTATCCCTCCTGCCACCCCACCCCATCCCTGACCTTGCCTCTGTGGCAGACACATTCCCTATTACTCTTTTTGCTCCTTTGGGGTGTTATGCAATACGTGGTTTGCAATACAGGTAGTAAGTGGCCATCATGTTGGGTCCATAGTCTACTTTCAGCATGCATCTCTCATCCGGAGCGGGCCCTCCAAGCATCATTCATTTAGTGGTCCCTTCTCTATCCCAGCTTTTCCGCCAGCATGTTAGGGCGGCTTCCAAGCCGTGGAGGGATCCACCTGGCCCTTATCTCTATTGTCCTTGGGTGTTAGTCTCCCATTCTGTTACTTTATATTCCACAAATGAGTGCAGTCATTCTATGTCTGTCCCTCTCTCTATGAGTCAGAGAAAGAATTAGTATTTTCAAAAGAGAGCTCAGTCCAATGAGCTGGAAGTATCACTATGAATAATCCAGCATCATCTTCCCAGTGTCTCTGCCACAGCTGTACCATATCTCTAATGAAACAGAAGCTGTAAAGCAGACTAGGAAATGCTCCCTTTGAAAATCTAGGGAGGGAGGAAATGCACAAAAGCGAGGGACAGAGAGGATTCTGAATCCTACTACTGCCTCTGAGAATATAGCTGGCAGGCAAAAAGCTTTCCTATTTGCTTTAAAATCTCCACCTGTAAAAAACACGTCACTCTCCCAAGCTGTCCTCCCAGACCTCAGAGGAGTCCTCCTTGGCTGGATTCAGTCTGTTTTTCTGTCCATGACTGATTGGTAGCACACTACCAAGGTGAAGGACTCTCTAACCTTCCTACTCACCACTCAACCGTGGCCCAGAAATATTACCAATGAAGCGTGTGTGTGTGTGTGTGTGTGTGTGTGTGTGTGTGTGTGTGCACGAGTGTGTGTTGAAAGGATGAGAGTGGGGCTGAATAAAATGAATATTGTTTAGAAGAATGCCCATGAAAACAGCCATCACCCCCAGATATGATTGACCCAAAGGCTCAATGTCTGGATGCCAATGACCAGACATTGATGTGAGAATATCACCTACTCAGGGAAGATCACTCACTCAGAGTGACAGACATGACTTGAAGGAAGCTGCTAGATTATTTGAGTATGAGTTGTTGAAGTTTCACTCTTTCTGCAAACGTCAGTGATCTGATACAGCATCAGCAACTGTAACCAGCATGTGAGGTGCTGGATGCCATAATGAAAGAGGAGGGACTCTCTCACCCTGTACACGTGGGTCAACATACTAGTGTGTGCACTTCGACAAACTCATGGCTATATGTCAAATATACCTATGAAGATAAAATTTAAAATAGCTAGCTGCCACATTTCCTTTTATATAGGTTAGGTACAGGACTACACTGGATTTTTATTATGCATTTATTACATGTTAATTGGCTTGCTTACATATATCATATGTAATTGGCATACTGATGACAGTATTAACATTTAACTTAATATTAAAATCATCTGAAGATAATTCTATTTTGTGGTTGTTGGGCCACACTCAGTGATACTCAGGGCTTACTCTTGCTCTGCACTGTCATCACTGTTGTCATTGCAATGACTAGTGGTTACATACTCGATTGCAGTGTGCTGGAGATGGAAGCTTGTGTCACTGGCGCTCCAGGGGCAGTGCCACTGGGCAAAGTGGGAGGTTTTAGGAATGGAATTTCTGAATCCAGAAGTTTTTGTTTGTTTTTTTACTTCTCCTTCCTTCCTCCCATGCTTCCTTCCTTTCCCACATGCAGCTGTGCTCAGGGATCAATCCTGGTGAGGCTCAGGAGACCATCTGGGGTTCCAGACATAAAATTGGAATGACCCCATGCAGGCAGGTGCCCTACACACTGTACTATCTATCCAGTCCATCTTTTTATTCTAATATTCCCATTGGTAGAGTACAAGTCTCCTTTTTATGACTCATGTGGATATCTCTGACCATGAGAAAATATTCTAATATTTTCATTTACCCTTGACTGTAAAGATTTTTTGTGCCTATAAAATACAGCCTAGTATGGTGCACCTAACCAATTATCCCTTATCAGGGAAGCATCGGTGAACTAGATACTGGGTCAGCTGAGACTTGGATTGAATGAGAATCATGTTTCTCGGTGAGCTAGCAACAGACTGAAAGCATTAGCCCCAGGGAGGAGCTAGGAAGAATGTATTGAGACTAACTTGGTATAGTATGTTACAATTACCCATTGAGAACTTTGGGAAGAGAACTTTGGGAAATTAACATTATTCTTAGCCATATGCACAAACCACACATATCACAACAATCTGGGCTAAAACTTTTTTATTTCTTACAGTAATTTTATCAAGAAAACATATTCAGATACATGATGAGCCAAGAGTAAAACATAAGGAATATCTTAGGGTTAGTAGAAAACTAGTCTTCCTGCGACTTCCAATGACTAGATAGCAATGGCACGACAGGTGTATGAGTCTGTTGGTGTAAGTCTATTGTCAGACCAGTTATGAATCTGTGAAGGAAGAGGAGAAATGGGGGTATCTGGTAAAATGAGAACTAATAAACATCTTACAGACTTGGAACACTGATTCTACTAGAATATGTGGAAAATAATAACGTTTCTACTACTTATATATCATAATAATGTTTCTACTACTTATATATCATACTTATATATCATCTTGAGATATAGATGTGACTGGGATAGAATGGGAGAGACAGGGAAGACAGGAAGAGAGGAAAGCAACTATCTAAAAATAAACCTAATGGCAATAAGCAAGACCACCTGATCATTGTACTCTGCCTTTCCATTCCCCAGGATCACCACTATCATCAGGCTCTCGATATTTTGTTCAGGGAGTGACTCATTCCTTCTTCAAGGGAGTCAGCTCAGGGACAGGGAAGTGGTTCATTTCCTCACTGTCTTTTTAAAGCTCAGGTGCTGGCAGGAAAAAGTGGCTTATGCCAGAAGGGCTATTCCTCAACAAGCGGCCCAGTTCCTTCTCAAAGCATTCAGCTGCTTGCAGCAGTTCTCCGTTCATTTTATGAATCAATCCTTGCTGATACCAATAATTGGGTGCGTTCGGGGGAATCTGATTTTCAGATGTGTTCTCTTGTTGGCCATTTACCTTTTGCTTCTCAGCTGATGTTTGGCTTACGGGCAAACCCTCTAAATCACATTGGACTGTAGTGCCTGCTGTCTGTCCCAGAGAGTCACGATCATGTTGAGAGTGCTGTCTCTCCCTGGCAGGCAGCTCTTTACTGGATGCTATCTGATCATATTCCTCTATTTCCAGGAGTTCAGTGAGCTCCGAGTACTCATAGAGAGGACTCAGGCCCTTCTCAATGGCTTTATTCAAATACTCCTTCGCATGTTTTCTTAGCTCATCCATCTTCTCCCTCTTCATGTCAGCATCAGATTCCTCATTCTGAACTTGCTTGACTTTGGCCCAATAGCAGCATGCAATCTGGTGATAGAGGTAGCAGTTGTTTGGTGTGGATTCCAACATCCTTTGAACGAGTTCAATAGCTTTGTCTAGATCACCTTTATTCTTGTAAAATTTGACTGCAATGCGAAGAACATCATTTTGGTGAGGAGCTTTCTCCACAGCCTCCTTGACCATCCTCTCTCCTTTAGCTTCCTCATTCATTTTCTGCAGTTTCAGGGCCTGAAGAACTCTAATGTACTGATTGTCAGGATTCAGCTCAATGGCCTTCTTTAGAACACTGTCGGATATTTGCTTCCGTGGCTTTCCATCCAGATAGTACTTGGCAATTGCCAGTCCAGAGGAGAATTCTGGGTTATTAGGTTTCTTTTCCAAAGCCTTCTCAAAACAAACCCTGGCTCTTTCATTTTGCCTTTCTCCACAGTTAAGCCATGTCCACCCTTCCTCACTGTCCAGCTCAGGACAATCAAGACTGAGAGGATTTGAAAACTTCTCACATGCCTGTTTCACCTTGTCAACATAAGCCTGCGCCTCTGGGAGTCTGCCCAGGTGATAGTAGACCCAGGCATAGTTTCCCCAGGTCACCAGGTTCCTGACTTCTGCCTGGTCAGAGTGCTCTTGCTGGATTGACTCTTCAGCTTGCTGTAAGCACTCCAGGGCCTCCTCGTTCCGACCATCTAAGTGTTTTATGTAGGCCAACAAGTTGTACATTGTGCCTTTGAACTCAGGGTTTAAAGATTCAATCTGCTCACACACTCTCTCTTCCAGATCCTCTGGGATATCTTTTTCCTTAAATAAGTTCCATGTGAAATGACATTTCAGCTGAGGAAGGATTTGCTCTAGAGAATTGTTGGCCTCACTGTGAAGAAAATAAACATGGTCACTGTGATGCATGCCTGTCAAGCACTGCGGCCTGCAGTGCAATTTCAGGTTAATTTGGTGTCAGCTCAGCTGTGCTATAGGACGCCCAGCTATCTGGTCAAGCAGTTGTTCTGGGAAAATCTTGAGGGTTTTCCTAGAAGGGATTAGCATTTTCATGCATAGACTGAATAGCAAGTTGCTCTTCCCAAAGCACATGGGCATGAGCCTGTCAATGGAGGGTCTGAGGAGAACAAAAGGAGGATAAAGAATGGCACTGCTCTCTGTACGTGGCTGCTGGCACTGGGATGTTGGTCCTCTCTGCTCTCAGGCTGGGATTTACACCATTAGCACTCCTGGCTCTCAGGCCTTCGGAGTTGAAGTGGAAGCACATCACTGACTTTTTGGGTACTTGGGCCTATGTTTCTATTTTCTATGAGATCTCTTCCTCTCAAGGGAACACACTTCCTGTGTTTCTTACTGAAAGTGGAGTATTTCTTTGACACTCCCATATTTACCTGTTGGTTATTAACTCTAAGTGTTTTAGGCTTCATCAGTGAATTGCCCCTTTTCCTCCTCACAGAGAAGCTTACCATGCTCTTGTGAGCATCCCTAATCCCCTTCCCTTTGTGTTTTACCTCTCATCGTCACAATTCCCCAAGTCAATCTTGGTTATTCATAAGTCAAAACTTTCTGGTAATTCTGGACTTTGTATTTGATGAACAACAGGAGGACAGTGACGGTGACAGTATTTGTAGTGAATTACTTTCTTTTTTATTACCCCATTACCTTTTCATATTTTACTATAGAGCAAGACCACTAATGCAGTTCCTAATATTTGGGAGTTGAGTGACTGAAATATATCTACTCCTGGGCATCTGTCATAATTACTTGACTCAGGCATCAGTTATTGTAATTCCCAATACCCCAAAAGGGAGGTGCCACCGTGGAACTGGGATGGACCTGGGGTGAGTGTTTAAGCTACCTCGGTATAAAAATGGGACAGTCTAGAAAGCATAAATGCATGATCTTCATACAAGCTGTTATGACTTAAGATACGGGACCCCTATGGAGAAAGATAAGCTGAACCAGTCTGAGAACTTAATCTAGGAATTACGGCAAAAGACTTGCTTGCCCTCAGAGCCCAGATAACTAAATTTTGGGATCTTTATCTCTTACTTGTTTATCCAAACAACTGTAAGTATTGATAAGAAGTAAACCTAATTGTTTAACATATACAACTAGAGGGAAAGAGAAAAGCAATATAGATGTCCCTGGAAGACAGTGTCTCCTTGAGTTAATCTCCCCAAGAGAATTGCCTCTGCCAAAATGTTTTATCTCTGTATATTCTCAATAACACCTACATTTAAATATATACTTCAAACCCATTCAGATGTTCTATAAATAGGCTAACGTCTCTGCATTAGAACGGTCATTTTTCTGCATTCGTGGACACACGACATCTCATACCTCACACCATTCATATTCCATGAGTAGTGCACCACATTTGATGGGGTTTAAAGTAGATGGCAACCAATCTTAGAGGGAAAATATATAGATACATATACATATATACATATATGCACATATATACATATATATAAGCACAGAAGGCTCAACCTTTAACAACACATTAGTGATCTCTTGTAGAAGGACTTAATGGCCCCTGGGTGAAATATAACAATCTTCACACACTTTCCTCTGTAGAAACTTTCTTGGACCATTTTTAGTGGTTTTTCGTAATAAACAATTTCAGTTCTGCTTTAGGGCAGGGCTTGGGGTTTGGGATGGAAACATTAGAAATATGGTGGTGGGAAGGTGAAATGGTGGTGGGATTGGTGCTAAAATATTAAATGTCATTTAAAAACTTGTGACAATACCCAAGAATGGCCGAGATTAGTACCAGGAATTTTACTCCATGACTTGGAGGCCAACCACACATACTAGGAGAAAAGGGAGCTCAGATAAAGAGGGGAACACCAAATAAAGGTGTTGGGAGGATCCTCCCAGGATGGGAGAAGCATGCTGAAAGTAGACTATAGACCAAACATGATTGCCACTCAATGTTTCTTTTGCAAAACCACAACACCCAAAAGGAGAAAGAGAACAGAGGGGAATGCCCTGCCACAGAGACAGGGTGGGATGGGGGGGATGGGGGGTGGGGGGTGGGAGGGATACTGGGATCCGTGGGTGGTGGGAATTGGGCACTGGTGGAGGGATGGGTATTTGATCATTGTATAATTGAAACCCAAGCACAAAAATGTGTAAGTCTGCAACTGAACCTCATGATGTCTCACTATTAAAAATTTTTTAATTAAAAAAAATTTAAAACACTTGTGAAAATAAATTTAAATTTAAAAAAATAAATAAATGGATCATTTTCATCATCAGTCTGTGGTCCCGCATCTCTTTGTTCCTCTGCTGGGGAGTCTGGGGAGGAGGAGGAGGCAGCTCTCATTCACCAAACATATGCATCAAAATATTGGGAGAAAACAATGCCAGAAATCACTAAGCCCACCATTGTCTGCAATTCTTGATTCACAGAGTAGTACAACTTCAGGAAAAATAATAAACAAAAGGGGTTCCATGTAATTGGCAATATAATCATGCAAGAGAAAATTCATCCCAAATGACAGCATTTGTCTGGTATGTTTTGCTTGCCCAAGACCTGAGTTTGACTCCTGACACCAAATAATCATCAATATCATCTATCCATGTCACTATTTTCTATTGAAAAAAAAAAAAGACTGAAAGAAGGAAAACTTTGATGACGCTACCTCTTTAGTTTTGTAGGACCAGGAGTGGAAATGAGGTTGGTGGGGGCAAAACTTTGAAGTAAATCAGAAGGATCTTACCAAACTAAATTTTAATTATTAGGCTTTTTGTTTTTATTTATTGATTTTTTTCTTTTTTGCCACTCCTTGCAGTCCTAGGGCTTACTCCTGACTGCACTCAGAGATCACTCCCGGCGGGCTCAGGGGACCATATGAGATGCCAGGATCAAATCCAGGTCAGCCACATGCAAGGCAAGTACCATACCTGCTGTACTATCTCTACAGTCCCCAACTTTAAGTACTTGTTGATAAAGATTCTCTCCTCCAAGATGAAAAGCATTCCATCACAGGCATATAGAAGCTTGGGGGATTTCTATTATTTTTTTAAAAATTAAGGCAGGACAAACTGAAGAGCTCACCAACATTGCTCAGTAGTAAATCGGCGCTCAGTATGCAAACATTGGGAGTACTCTGTCCTTACCAACACTTTACCAGTGCAAGACCTGCTCAAGCTAAGATACTTAGAGCAGCTGGCCAGTTTATCGGGAAAGATAGCCAACCACGCATGTGACTTCATGATTCTAACGCTTGTTCCAACATGGAATTTAGATCAGTTTGATTCCTCCGTGATTCTTCCGCCCCTCTCGGAGAGTGTGGCAAGCTACCGAGAGTATCTCGCCCGCATGGCAAAGCCTGGCAAGCTACCCATGAAGCATTCGATATGCCAAACACAGTAACAACAAGTCTCACAATGGAGACGTTACTGGGCCTGCTCGAGCAATCAATGAACAACGGGAGGACAGTGGACAGTTGACCTTTTCTAAATGATCTTTCCTAACCTTTCTAGAAAACAAGATTTCAAGGAAAGAGCAGTAGGCTTTACATATGGTCGTTGGTCAAGATAGACCATATGTCAGGCCACAAAATAAGTCTTAAAGATTTAAGGAGAGGTGCATATACTGCCCGAGACCATGTGCTGCTTGCACCCATGTGGCCAAGCACATGTGGTGCCTGAGCACATGTGTCACCTGCATCTCCCCTCTGAGATGTGTACTGGGACTCTCTTCACCTTTGGAGAAGCCGACATTCTTCCTTGAGCACATTACTTTCTCTCTTGTTCTCCCTCCTTCCCCTTCCTAAAAGCCTCCAAATAAAGTCTGTTTTCTCGCCCACACGGCAGAGCCTGGCAAGCTCCCCGTGACGTATTCGATATGCCAAACACAGTAACAACTAAGTCTCCAATGGAGACGTTACTGGGCCCGCTCGAGCAAATCGATGATCAACGGGAGAGCCTTTACTTTACTTACTACTTTACTTCACTTAAAGAAAAATGAGGCTGCAGTGAGAGTACAGAGGGGAGGGTGTTTGCTCTGCATATTGTGAACCAGGATTTGATCCCCAGCCTCTTATATCCCCCCACATCCCAAGCACCGCCAGAAGCAATTTCTGAGCACATAGCCAGGAGTAACCCCTGAGCATAGCTGACTGTGACCCAAAAAAAGATATTTAAAAATGAAGAAAATTTTAAGATTGGAATCATATCAAACATGTTTTCCAACCACCAAGTGTGAAATTAGAAATAACTTTCAAAGGAAGAAGTCAAGCTCTCACTGTTTGCAGATGACATGATAGTATACCTAGAGAACCCTAAACCTCTAGAAAAAAAATCCTAAAAACAATAGATTTGTATAGTAGAGTGGCAGGTTACAAAAATCAATAACCAAAAGTCCATAGCTTTCTTATATACAAATAAAGACAAGAAAGTGATATTAAAATAATAATCCCATTCACAATCATGCCTCAGAAAATCAAGTATCTTGAAATCAGCTTAACTAAGGAGGTAAAGGACCTGTACAAAAAAACCTACAAAATGCTACTTCATGGAATAAAAGAAGACATAAGGAAATGGATACATATCCCCTGCTCATGAATTGGAAGAATTAACATTGTCAAAATGGCAATACTCCCCAAAGCATTATACAGATTGAGTGCAGTCCCTATAAGGATACCCATGACATTTTTCAAAGAAGTAGACAAAACACTCCTGAAATTTATATGGAACAATAAACCCCCATGAGTAACTAAAGCAATACTTGGGAAAAAGAAGATGAGAGGCATCACCTTTCCCAACGTCAAACTGTACAAACCACAAAGCAGTGGTAATTAAAACAGTATGGTATTGGAATTAAAACAGGCCTGCAGACCAATGGAATAGGGTTCACACACACCGTCAAATATATGATCATCTAATCTTTAATAAAGGAGCAAGAAATGTGAAATGGAGCAAGCAAAGACTCTTTTTTTTGTTTTGTTTTGTCTTTTGGGTCACACCCATTGATACACAGGGATTACTCCTGGCTCATGCACTCAGGAATTACTCCTGGCGGTGCTCAAGGGACCATATGGGATGCTGGGAATTGAACTCAGGTTGGCCACGTGCAAGGTAAATGTCCTACCTGCTGTGTTATTGCTCCAGCCCCAAGCAAAGACTCTTTAACAAGTGGTGCTGGCAAAATTGAACATGCAAAAAAAAAAAAAAAAAGGACTGAGACCTCTATCTAACACCGTGCACAAGTCAGATCAAAACTGACCAAGCAAGTGGAAGCAAAGATAAACAAATGGACCTACATTAAACTAAAAGGCTTCTGCACCTCAAAAGAAACAATGATACAAAAACAGCTTTTGGAATGGGAAAGTTTATTCGCCCAAAACCCTTCTGAGAAGGGGTTAATATCAAAGATATACAAGGCACTGGTTGAACTTCACAAGAAAAAAAGAAAAAAACAAACATTCAACCCCATCCAAAAAAAAACAATTGGAAGAAGAAATGAATAGAAGCTTTCTCAAAGAAGAGATTCGAATGGTGAAAAGGCACATGAAAAAATGCTCTTAATCGCTAATCATCAGGGAGATGCAAATCAAAATGACAATGAGACATCAACTCACAACACAGACTGAAACACATCCAAAAGAATAAGAACAACCAGTGTAGACGTGGATGTGGGGAGAAAGGTACTCTCCTTCATTGTTGGTGGGAATGCCTACTGGTCCAGCCTTTTTGGAAAACAGTATGGATATTCCTCAAAAAATTAAAAATTGAGTCCTCATTTGACCCAGCAATACCACTTCAGGGAATATATCCTGGAGACCCCAAAACAGTAAGGCTCCAAAACACTAAGTACATATGGCTGACCCAGGTTCGATCCCTGGCATCCCAGATGGTCCCCTGAGCACCTCCAGGAGTGATTTCTGAATGCAGAGCCAGGAGTAACCCCTAAGCATCACCAGGTATGGCCAAAACCAAAAAATAAATAAATAAATATAAAATTCTAGGGATTGGAGTGATAGCACAGCGGTTAGGGCATTCCTGAGTGCATGAGCCAGGAATAACCTTTGTGCATCACCAGGCGTGACCTAAAAAGCAAAAAATTAATATATTATTTAATTTTAAAAAATCTAAAGGAAAGAGGTGTGTGTGTGTGTGTGTGTGAAAGCGAGAGAGAGACAGACAGAGACAGAGACAGACAGAGACAGAGAGACAGAGACAGAGATAGAGATAGAGAACAGAGAGAGAGATCAGGGGTTGAAGTATATGAAATATACTTCATATGCAAGGTAAAGTATATGCAAGGCACATACTTTACCATGAGGCACAGTCCAGCCCTATGTTGTACATTTGCACTTGGCAATTCTATCTTGAAGCAACATACATTTTTAAAAGGGAATTATCTGGAGCTAGGGAGCTAACTGAAAGGGCTAGAGCACATGCTTTGCCTATGAGAATATTGGGTCATTGATTCTAGTAACTCACAATCCACCCATCACCCACCCCCAGTACCACCAGGAGGGGCCCCAGCACCCCAGTATGAGAGTAACCTCCACAGTAAGCTAGAGTGCCTCCTCTTAGCAATGCTTGTCCATTTTTCTTCTGTATAATTTCTCTGTCTGACCTTTAAGCGAGTATTTTGCTCTTCAGAGCCCAATGTTGTTCATCATGAAAATAAGCTAATAAGCAACAGTTCTTCCTAGGGCTGTTGGGAAGCAGGTGAGATGATGTTTGTAAAGTGCTTACCCGAAGGCTTGCCAGCTACCAATCCCAGAGGTGCTGCATGATCCATGGTATATTTGTGTTAGAATTCTAGGTGAATCTGAAGTATATGAAAGGGTTGACAGAGCTTCCCTTGATGGCCGGGTGAAGGGTCTGTCAGCAAACAAGGGCCGTGTGTTCCCCAGGTGGTTTTCCCCTGGACAATTTTTGCACAGCTGGGGAAGAACAGACTGAACTGCCCTGTCCCTGCAGCTCTGGAAACAAGTACCTTTCATCAGCCCAGTCCAGAAAGCCTTTCTTAGTCCCTCCAGACAGTGGCTCTGGATACTCAGGCACAAGTACTGTAAACCCGCTGACCAGACTGACCGCCATAGCCTGGAAAAGCTTCCTATCCTCTCAAGGACAGGAAAGTCTTTGAAGAGTCATTTTCATAACCAAGGACCCAGCTCTGTAGTAGAGCACATAACACATAACTTACATGTCTAAGGCTCTGGGTTCCATCCCCACAAGGAAACCTGACCAAAAAGAACTAAGAGCTATACTCAAATTAAAACAGGTGAATTTCTCTAAACTTGAGCTGTTGAGAATGTAAAGAATGTTTAATTCGTTCTTCCCCTAAAAGCCTAATAGATAAGGAAGACAAACTGTAGGCAGAACTCTACTGAGAAACCTTTTTCCTGATACACCTGAACATCACAGATACATGACAGATACATCTGAGCATAATGGGTATCTCTGGGCCTTGGTCCACAATAGAATTTACTGACCGCCTTATGTCCACCAATCCCTATATAAGCTCCTTTTTTGTCAGAAGTTTCCAAACCTATTTGGCCTACTGCCCCCTTTTCAGAAAAAGAAAAATTAATCACTTAGCATCCACTGGAAAGCTTTCTTTAAGAAAACACACCAAAAGTGACCTCCAATGGCATCTGGATCATTTCTACACCTCCCCTGGGAAACAGCATCTCTGACTTTGGGAGAGGGTACTGGAGGACTTGAGTCCAACATCCCTCAACCTTCTGGCTTGGGCTTGTAGCTAATAAAGTACCTTCACTACTTTCATTCTGATGTATGCAGGTAGACAGGGAAGGCCCCCTCCCAAGGCAATGGCAAAAGCCAGCCCTGCAGAAAACAGAAAAAACAGGAACTAAGACCTGAGAAAACCCTCACACTCACAGACCCACAGAAGCTCCTGCAGAGACAAAAGGCCAAAAAAGGAATTTCGAAGATCATCACCATTCCCAACCCCGCTCCTTAGCAACAGACTTTGACCTAGGTAGAAGTCCACGTGGGGACAGGTTGGAGAAACCCTATAAAGGCCACCTTGAGCAAAGGACGCGCACGCGTATGTTGCTGGGGCCCATTTGCTGCTTGTGCCCATTTGGCCGAGCACATGTGTTGCCCTCATCTCCCCTCTTGAGATGTCGACTTTCATGCTTTCCTGTCTAATACTGGGTTATGTGTAGGGGCTCTCTTCGCCCCTGGACAAGCCCATGTTTTCTCTTGAGCATGTTACACACTCACTCTCTCTCTCTCTCTCTCTCTCTCAATAAAATCTCTTTTGCTTCACCGCTTGTTTACTCCTGAAATTCCTTTCTGCGATCGAGACAAGAACCCAGTAACCCTGGATCCCGGGTGACAGAGACGGATTGGGAGAAAGTGACCATTTTTCTCCTCCCCACTCCACATGAGCCACCCGTGGGGTTCACCAACGTCAGTAGGGATCTACCAACATCAATTTGGTCTTTAGGTTGATTGGTCCTTGGAGCAGCAATGGAGCTGGAGCCAGATCTTTGCTGGTTCCAGTTGCAATGATAACAAAAGTTATTTCCTTGCATATAATAATTTGGAGCCTCTCATCCCACCTCCCAGTTACTAGCTTCACCCAGTGAAAAGTTTTAAGATGCCTAGAGAGCCTGACTGTCCATCATAGTTACCACAAAATAAAATTTTCAAGTAGATAAAGACACATTTATAAAGTCCTATAAGCAAAAAGGTAACTGCAAGAGCTAGCCTGCACCCAAAAAAACTCAGTTCACAACCTTCATTCAAGTGTAAGACTGCTTTGGCATTCTTATTCCAACCCACCTCATGATTGCACTCTGCTTCCCTGCTGCTTGGAAAAACTGGAGTCCAGGGGTTGTTCTTCAGAAATCCTCCTCTAAGTTGCTGCTTTAATGCTGAAAGAGCAATTTAAAGGGTTGGGAACATCAGCTGACACTTTGCTCTTGTTTAAGTGGTTGCCTTTGAGAAAGTGAAAGATACTTTTTCAAAGCGCCTTTGAGGAAATGGAAACTGAAACTGACTGAAAATCAAGAGGAAAAAGAAATTAAATCTGAAATCTGTGGTCATTCAGTCCAAGTTCATTGTGTTCACTTTTTAAAAACCAAACAAAACCCCTGCTCTTTTTTTGGAAACGAGAGCTATTGAAATGAGAAGACTAAATAAAAGAAAGAGAAACAACCTCCCCACCCCCGACAGCTGCAGTTGGAATGAATATGCAGTTCTCAATTGACAAAATTCTACCCCTGATTTTGAAAGTAACTAAGCGTTAGTCACTGACAGGTAAAGTTCACTCTTAACATCCTGCTAAACAAGAATATACCTATTTTGAATCCAGGTTATTGATGTAGGCAGGATAGGGAAGGCCCCACTCCCTAAGCAGTGGCAACAGCCAACCTTGCAGAAAACAGGAAAAGCAGTAAAAAACAGGAACTAAGGCCTGAGAAGACCCTCACCTGGAGCCAGGAACAGACCTTGAGAAGCTCCTGTGGAAATAAAAGGCCAGGAAAGGAATTTCAAAGAAGACCACACCCAATCCCCCTGGTTACCTCCCTAGCAACAGGCTTTGACCTAGGTAGAAGACCCACTTGGGGACAAGTTGGAGAAACTCTCTAAAGGCCACCTTGAACAAAGGAAGGGCAAATATATGCTGCCAGAGCCCATGTGCTGCTTGCACCCATTTGCCAAGCACATGTGGTGCCTGAGCACATGTGTCGCCCTCATCTCCCCTCTTGAGATGTGGACTTTCATGCTTTCCTGTCTAAGCTGAGATGTGTATAGGGGCTCTCTCCACCCTTGGAGAAGCCCGGGTTCTCTCTTGAGCATGAAACTTTCCACTCTCTCCCACGTTCTCTCCCTCCTTTCCTTCAAAACCTCCAAATAAAAACTGATTTCACTGCTTGTCTTTTCCTGAAATTCTTTTCTGCCAGGCGAGACAAGAACCCAGTAAGCCTGGGTCCCGGTTGACAGAGGAAGATTGGGAGAAAGTGACCGTCTTTCTCCTCCCCACTACACATGAGCCACACCTTGGGACCCACCCACATCATTATCAGTCCTGAATAAAAACCATTCTAGGTGTGAGGAAATGCAAAGTAAAAGTGTAAGATTTTTGTTTGGGTCGGCATTTGACCCTTGTCTTTACAGCTGTGGTTGAGGAGTAGGGTAGGGGGTGGCAGGTAGGGGTGCGGGGTGGGAGGAGGGGGATCAAGGCAAATGGGCAGGAAGTCTCAGGCTCTTCACAAGTAAGGAGATGGTGATGCAAATAAAGCCTGGTCCAGACCATGGCTTATGAGTCTTGATCCAGTGCCAGGTTCATCTGACCGATATAAGAAAAAATTCAAGCACAAGTGAAAGGCATTAAAGATATATTCAGGAGGGCTAGGAGATAATACAGTGTGTAAGGTACTTGCTTTCCATTCCACACAGCTGAGTCAGGTTCAATTTCTCACATCCTGTGCACAGATCGCTGCACTCACTGATCTTCGAGTGCAGAGCCAGGAGTAAGCCCTGAGCACAGTTGGGTGTGGCTCCAACCCCCACTCACCAAGAAAATGATTTATTAAGGAATTGTAGATACTCAAGAGTCAGAGAACAGGCAGATGCAGAGTGAGCACATTACTCACTCTCTCCGTCTCTCCCTCTTTCTCTCTCTCTCTCACTCTCTCTCTCTCATCCTCTTCCCATCCACACCTTCAAAAATCTCCCAATAAAATCTGTTTTATTTCACAGCTTGTCTACTCCTAAAATTCCTTTCTGCAAGGTGAGACAAGAACCCAGTAACCCTGGGTCCTGGGTGGCAGAGGCAGATGGGGAGAAAGTGACCGTCTTTCTCCTCCCCACTTCACGAAAGTCACCCGTGGGGCCCACCAACATCAGACTTAAGCCTCAGCTGTCCTTAGTTCCTAGCACCCCTAAAGCAGGATCCCAACAAAAGGACTTGAATGGATCCAGAGCAAGCCTGGCATCAAAAAGGGACAGACCAAGTGCCATAAAATTTACAATAAGTTAAGAGCATAGTCATGGACAAACTTTGCCATGACCCAAAAAGTAACTGGATAAGGACTCTGCTGGGGTTAGGAAGGACTAATCTGGCCTGAGAACTGTAGTCCGTGACCTGTATGTCCCCAGGAGAGTCACCCTTTAAGCTTAATGTATCTCTTACTGTGCCCATACAAAATGACAAAAAATATTTTTTGGGGGGGGGTCACACCTGGTGATGCACAGGGGTCACTCTGCACTCAGGAGTTACTCCTGGCAGTGCTCAAAGGACCATATGGGATTCTGGGAATCGAACCTGGGTTGGCCGCATGCAAGGCAAACACCCTACCCGCTGTGCTATCTCTCCAGTCCCCCAAAAAATATTATTAAGAAGCAAATTTAAGATGACCATTTAAACAGATATGAATCAAGGAAAGGAGAAATACGGACTTAGATGAAATTCCGCCCTTGAGTTGATCTCCTAGCAGGATGAAACCTTTGTCTTAGAAGAAGTTTCCCTAGAAGGAAGGGCTTTTCACATGGTGATGGTGCTATCTCACCAATGGGTATTTGCTACGCCAAACTTGGATGATTGGGTCCATGACTAAGCCTGTGAAACTAGACCGGGGAAATGGGAATGAGGAGGAGTGTGAGACTGGAATAGGCTCGCGGGGAGAATGGAATAAATGGCAGGATGGAGATTGGAATAAAAAGTGACTGATCACCAACCATGTGGCCCTGTCCCTTTCTTCATGTACCGCTTGGCTGCAGTGGGTTGGGGTGGGGAAGCAGCTCATGACCACCTAATGCACACAGTACGTGCCCACATTTTTTGAACACACAGGCCGGGGTCCTCTTCCTCCCTCATGGCTCCATGTGTGTCCGTCTGAAAGCTGCGTGCTTGGTTGCTCCTTTCCAGGATGGAGATGGGTCGTACTTTGGTGGAGGGTATACATGTAGCTGTGTTTCCTTCTAGACCCTCCAAACAAGCTCAAGAATCAGTGGTACCTCGTGTTTCACATTCATGACTGACTTAAAAATCTCTGTAAATTCATCTTCTTAACACCACAAATTCTGATGTACCTTCCTTTTAAACTATCGTTTAAAATCTTAGCTCTGAAAGTAGATTTGAAAGAACATGAAAACACTTTCAGAAATTTAACTTGAAACCTAAAGTGAATCCTGGTAAATTAGAATTTTTTAAAAAATATCACTATCAGGGGGGTATGGTGCCGCCAGCAGGTCAATCTGTATCTGTGAGGCGAGTGCATCTGCAGCCTGATGGCGCCTTCAGACTTTCAGATACCCCAAAATTGCTGCTGTGCCTTTGGCCAGACCCCAAAAACTTGGGACAAAGTTTACCAAGAAAGTAAATAGCCAAAAGTTAGGTATGTGGGAAACACACCCACAAACCACCTCCGGCTCAGCTATATAATTGGAGACATGGCCTCTTCTCATTCTTGATTGAACTGCTTAATGGCCATGATCCCAGAGACTCAGAAACAAGTCACGAAACCCAGCGGCTTTTGGCAGAAATGCGTCTAGTCCCTGCAGTAGGTTACCGGTGCTGGGCCAACCCAGGTGGGAATAGGTTTCGTGCCTTGGCCTGTTCCCCCTGGCAGCCTAGAGACCGCCATCCTCCAGAGGCCACTGGAAAGTCAGGTTTGGGCCCACAGTGACAAGACATTTTGGGCCTCATGGGATGGGGGTGAAGCCGGTCCTGTCCTCTCCGTTCCAAAGAGACCCCACGTTATCACCCACGAATGGCCTCTCTGGCTCCTAATCAAGCTGCTTAACGACCATGATTCCAGAGACTCAGAAACAAATCTTGGAACCCAGTGGCTTTTGGCAGAAATGTGTCCGGACCCCGCAGTAGGTTACTGTCACCAGGCCACCCCAGGGGGGAAAGGGTGTTGTCCCTCCACCTGCTTCCCCCTGGCGGCTCGGTGGCCATCATCCTCCAGAGGCCACTGGACAGTCAGGTTAGGGCCTGCAGTGATGAGACATTTTGGGCCTCACGGGATGGGGGTGGAGCTGGTTCTGTCCTCCCCACCCCAACGAGACCCCAAGTCATCGCCCACAAGTGGCCTTTCTGGCTCCTGATCAAGCTGCTTAACGGCCATGATCCCAGAGACTCAGGAGTAAATCTCGAAACCCAGCAAATTTTGGCAGAAATCCCTCCAGATTTAAGTGTTAAAATTTTGGAGTTTCAAAATTGTGCTGCCACTAATGCAGCCACGTGACATAATATGTTATTCATAACCAGCAATAGAAAACAAATTGTCTACTGTTGCCTTTTCAGCAGATCTGAGTGTTGGGGTAAAATCTAAAATAATAATGGTGGGTCTGGTGTCAAAATATTGAATGTGATCAAAGCAGAGAAAGAGAGTAATGTGGAAATCATCTGCCTCACAGGTAGGGGGAGGGTGTGGGATGGGGGTATACTGGGGTTGTTGGGGGTGGAGAATGGTCACTGGTGAAGGTATGGGTGTTTCATTGTATGACTGAGACTTAAACCCAAAGGCTTTGTAACTGCTCTCACGGTGATTCAATAAATAAAATTATAAAAAATGAAAAAAAAAGCAAGGTGGAGTTCATGTACAATTCAATCAGCTAATCATTGGCTGAATAAATAGCAGTACTTCTACATAAAAAAATATATGTAAATATATAAGTTACATAATATTTTATATAGCACTGTAACACTGTCATCCCATTGTTCATCAATTTGCTCAAGTGGGCACCAGTAACCTCTTTATTGTGAGACTTGCTGTTACGGTTTTTGGCATATGGAATATGCCATGGGGAGTTTGCCAGGCTCTGCTAAGTGGGCAGAATACCGCTCAATAGCTTGCTGGGCTCTCTGAGAGGGACAGAGGAATCAAACCCGGGGCGGCTGCATGCAAAGCAAACACCCGACCCGCTGAGCTATTGCTCCAGCCCAATATTTTATATATTGTATATAATATATTATATATTTATTTAATTTCCTGTGTTTGATTCCTCCATCCCTCTCAGAGAGCTCAGCAAGCTACCAAGAGTATCCTGCCCACACAGCAGAGCCTGGCAAGCTATTCGTGACGTATTCAATATGCCAAAAACAGTAACAAGGGCCTGCTCCTCTCTGGAAAGAAAGATGGCGGCCGCACGGGAGCCTTGTGGACAGCAGGTTTGAGCCGGGGGCGGAGGGCAGCAGGGGCCTCATGGGAAGGGGGGCGTTCTGGGCCGTCCTTCACGCCCGACCGAGGTCACCAGCTGCCCCCCACGAGCGGCTCTCCGGCACGGCCACGACTCCAGAGCACAGAAACCAATCTCTTAACTATCTAACTTTTAATAGAAATACTTCCAGGGTTAATAAGTGAAACATCAGAAGTCCAAAACCGCGCGGCCGCTATTGCCGCCGCGCGACATCATTTTCTTCTTAAACCCAGCTGTAGAAAGCAAATCATTTCACAACACTGTTTCAGCATATCTGATTGGGGGGGTCGTAAACTCTAAACAATAATTATGCATCTTCTATCGAAACAATGTATCTAGTCAAAGTAGATAGAGTATTAACTAGAACTCATCTGCCTCACAGGAATTGGGAGGGGTGGGAGGTGGGGTTCTATTGGGGTTCACGGTTAAAAATAAGTATTGGTAAAGGGAAATGTGTTTGATACTTACATGACTGAGACCTAAACCCGAAAGCTCTGTAACTTTTCCCACAGTGATTCAATAAAGAAATAAACTATTAAAAAAAAAAAACAGCAACAAGAAGTCTCACAATGGAGACATTACTGGTGCCCACTCGTGCAAATCGATGAACAATGGAACAACAGTGCTATTAAATTTATTATATATTTATTATATGTTATATATAATAATGGGCTAGAGCGATAGCACAGCAGTAGGGCGTTTGCCTTGCACACAGCCAACATGGCCGACCCGAGTTCGATTCCTCCGCCCCTCTCGGAGAGCCCGGCAAGCTACCGAGAGTATTCGATATGCCAAACACAGTAACAATAAAGTCTCCAATGGAGACGTTACTGGGCCCACTCGAGCAAATTGATGAACAACGGGAGGACAGTGATAGTGACAGTTACTAAAATAACTTTGATTTGTGTTGATCCTTACATTTTGTGTATACAACCTTATAAATCAAAATCTACAAACTACACAAGGTAGTTTATCATCACAAAAATCACTAAAATCTAATTCCATCCTTGACTTCAGAGTTGACTCTTTTGACTCATTTTTTTTTTCTTTCACGGGAAAAAACTGGCCTCACCTCCAAAGAGAGAGGAATTCATTTGGAAGAGTCAAGACAGGACAGAGTGGTCAGAATTTTTCTTGAAAAAAGAAAAGGAGAGGCGATTTCTCTCCCAAAGAAGCTTCAAGCAGGCCAATCTGAGAGCGGGTTGCCCCACCTCACTGTGCTGCCCCACTTGCACTTTTGTCTGATCATCTGACCATTGCTTTCTTTGGTCCCAGATCTGGGTGTTCCCACAGTTTTCCTGTTGCTAGTCAACAGGAAATTCCTGGTGCCAGTCAGCCTGCCTTCCCGCTCGGATGTACTAATCTGTAGGACTATGGTATGGTTTAGTTTGGTTTGGTTTGGTTTGGTTTGGTTTGGTTTGGTTTGGGCATTCTTGAACCTTGAGATCCTACATTCCAGGGTGCTTTGGTTGTGGGCAGTTTTCCTATCTGTGTCGGCATTTCAGGATGGTCTTGGGTAATCCCCTGATTACACACAAGTCTGGATCCTACCCGCCCCACCACCCCTTTTATCTAATTGCTTTCTCCTCCCCTCCTTTCCCATCTTTCCTTCTGGCCACGACTATTTTGTTTTTAGAATTTAAGGATTCCATTTTTGCTTTTGTTTTAATTTATTTTTGCTTTGTTTCCTTAACTAATTGATTTTATTTCTTCTCCAACTATATATGAATGAAATCATACAGAGTTCCTCCCTCCCTTGTTCTCTTCTTTCTCTGTGTGTCCTTGCCTGGTTTGGAAATTAGTGATGTTAACTTATAAAAATACATTTGGGAACTTAACCTTTTAATTTCTTCATTTTCTTTGTTTTGTTTTGTTTTGGGATTACACCCAGCAGTGCTCAGGAGCCACACCTGACTCGGATCTCAGAGGTCACACTTGCTGGTGGTCTGGGAAGCATACGTAGTACAGGGATTCAAGTCACTGTCTCATCCTCAGCCGCAGGAAAGATATAACTGCTTTAACCTGTTTCTCCCACTCTCTTTTAACTTTTTGTGAAGAGCTTGAGAAGGATACATATGAGTCCTTTGAAAATTTGGCAGAATTCATAAAACTATGTGATCCTAGGCTTTTATTTTATGGAATATTTTTAATTAATATTTAATTTTCCTTACTCATGGCTGATCTGTTCAGATTTTCTATTTCTTCCTGCCTTAGTCTCAAATGCGGTATGTTTCAAGGAATTAATTCTCTTGGCACCATATGCTGCCCGGGCCCATATGCTGCCTGTACCCAGGTGTTGCTGCAGAGCACATGTGGTGCCTGAGCACATGTGTCGCTCACATCACCCTTCTTGGGATGTGGCGATGTGTACTTTCAGACCTTCATACTTTAATGCTTGGGTGTGTTCTGTGGTTCTCTCTATGCTCTGGAGAAGCCCACATTCTCTCTTGACTGTGTTATATTCTCTCTCTCTCTCTCTCTCTCTCTCTCTCTCTCTCCACCTCTCCTCAAAGCTTCTAATAAAATCTGTTATACTTTTTAAAAAAAGAACTTATTTTCTCTAGGTTGTTAATTTGTGGCCATAAACATGATGTTAATAATACTCTTACTAATCTTGAATTTGTGTAGTATTTATTATAACTCCTCATTTCTTATTTTATTTATTTGAACTTTGCATCCTTTATTTTTAAAGTCTTATTAAAGAATTGCCTATTTTCAGACAAAACACTCCTGAAATTCAGATGGAACAATAAACCCCCCACAAATAGCTAAAACAATCCTTGGGGAAAAGAAGATGGGTGGCATCACCCTCCCCAACTTCAAACATGGTACTGGTCTAGAAACAGACCTGCAGACCAATGGAACAGAGTTGAATATTTTGTCACAGACCCCCAAATATATGATCACTTAATCTTTGACAAGTGAGCAAGAAATGTGAAGTGGAACAAGGAAAGTCTCTTCAACAAGTGGTGCTGGGAAAACTGGATAGCTACCTGCAAAAAAAAAAAAAAATTAACGCTGACCTCTGTCTAATGCCAGGCACAAAATTCAGCTCAAAGTGGATTAAAGACCTCAATTTCAGACATGAATCCATAAGGTACATAGAGGAAAATGTAGGCAGAACTCTCCACGACATTGAAGCTAAAAACATCTTTAAGGATGAAACAGCACTGGCCATGCAAGTGGAAGCAAACATAAACAAATGGGACATCAAACTAAGAAGCTTCTGCACTTCAAAAGAAACAGTGACCAAAATACAGAAAGAGCCCACAGCATGGGAAAGAATATTTACCCAATACCCATCTGATAAGGGATTAATATCCAGGATATACAAGACACTAGTAGAATTGTACAAGAAAAAAACCTCCAACCCCATCAAAAAATGGGGAGAAGAAATGAACAGAAGTTTCCTCAAAAAAAAAAAAATACAAATGGCCAAGAGGCACATGAAAAAAATGCTCCACATCGCTAGCCATCAGGGAGATGCAAATCAAAACAACAATGAGATATAATCTCATACCACAGAGACTGGCACACATTCAAAAGAACAAAAGCAACCAGTGCTGGCGTGGATGTGGGGAAAAAGGGACACTCTTTCACTGTTGATGAGAATGCCCACTAGTCCAGACTTTCTGGAAAACAATATGGACAGTCCTTCAAAAACTAGAAATTGAGCTTCCATATGACTCCGCAATACCACTTCTGGGAATATATCCCGAGGATGCAAAAAAAGCACAGTATAAATGACATCTGTACCTATATGTTCATTGCAGCACTGTTCACAATAGCCAAAATCTGGAAACAACCCAAGGGCCCTAGAACAGATGACTGGTTAAAAAAACTTTGGTACATCTACACAATGAAATACTATGCAGCTGTCAGGAGAGATGAAGTCATGAACTTTGCTTATAAATGGATAGACATGGAGAGTATCATGCTAAGTGAAATGAGTCAGAAAGAGAGGGACAGACATAAAAGGACTGCACTCATTTGTGGAGTATAAAACAACATAACATGAGGTTGACACCTAAGGATAGTAGATACACGGGACAGGAAGATTGCTCCATAGCTGGAAGCCTGCCTCATGAGCAAGGAGGAGAAGGCAGCTGGAATAGAGAAGGGATCACCAAGAAAAAGATGGCTGGAGGAATCGGTCGGGATGGGAGATGTGTGCAGAAAGTAGATATAGAACCAAACATGATAACTCTCAGGGTCTGTATTGCAAACCATAATGCCCAAAAGTAGAGAGAGATTATGGGGAATCATATCTGCCATGGAGGCAGAGGGAGGGTGAGAAAGGGGGGTTATACCGGGGATATTGGTGGAGGGGAATGTGCACTGGTGGAGGGATGGGTGTTTGATCATTGTGTGATTGTAACCCAAACATGAAAGCTTATAACTATCTCATGGTGACTCAATAAAATTTAAAAAAAAAGAATTTCCTATTTTCAGGGTTAGAGAGATAGTGCTTGGATAAGGCACTTGCCTTGCACACACCAGACCTGGGTTCAATCCTCAGCATCCCATATGGTCCCCCAAACACCATCAGGAGTAATTCCTGAGTGCAGAGCCAGGAGTGACCCCTGAGCATCACTCGGTGTGACCCCAAAAACACTTAAAATTTTTTAATTGCTTATTTTCCTTTATCTTTTCAAAGAACCAGGTCTTGGTTACATCCATTATTTGTATTATCTTTTAATCTACAGTTTATATCTACCCTAAATTTTATTACTTACTTTGTTCTACTGACTTTTGGCTTTAATTTTTCTCTTTCTAGGCTTTTTAAGTGTAACATTAAATTTTTAAATATTTTTTAACTTAAGCATAATAAAACTACAATTGCTGATATAATTCTAGAGTTGAAATTGATTAGATTTTTTAAATTATGATTTTTCTTGACTCCTCAAGTAGATATATGTATACTATAAAATTTTCTCTCATTATCAAATTTTTTGATTTTGATAATTCAGGTCTTTATTGCATCCGTCTTCATTTAATTTCTCTTCTGAATTTCTTGTTGCCTGAGTAGCTGTTCAACAGTATGTTACATAGTCTACATATATTTGTGCACTTGTCCAATTCAGTCCAGTGGAATGAGTTTCTCTTTACATCTAGTAGAAAATGTGCTATTCAACACAAGAAGCAAACCATGACTTAAAAATTAACCCAAAGACATCAGGGAGTCTTCTCTTTTTTTAGTCTTTCCTCAATTAGGAAATATCTTCAAGATGCTTTTTTGAAGGATGGAGGATAATATAGAACTGGTGATAGCATTTGTTATAATGACCAATATAGGCTGAAAAGACAATACAGGGGTTAAGGCATTTGCCTTGCATGTAACTGATCTGGTTCAGTCCTCAGCACCGTGCCCCACCCCATCCCTCTGAACATCACTGGATACACTGCAGGGCCCTAGACGTCCTGCTTCCACGGGTCCTTGAATTGAACTGCCACCCTCGTCAGCAAGAATAGGGACCCCTAGGAGTAGTCCCTCAATAAGAAAAGAATGAATGTGTATGGATATAGAAGACCAAGATGAGATGAACAGTGAACCCCCAACCCTGTGTATATGGTGTGGGGAGAGATGTTTGTGTGCAAAAGCGTGCATGGCAATGGATATCAGGGGAACACTGACACCTGAATTCTGAGGCTGTGAAAAACAGAAATTTGTTCTAGCGGTCTACTGTTCTAAGTAAGATTATATGGAGTTTTTTTTTTTTATTAGTGAAACACCATGAGGTACAGTCGTAGACTTACAAATTTTTGTGCTTGGGTTTCAGTTATACAATGATCAAGTACCCATCCCTCCACCAGCGCCCATCCTCTACCACCACGGGTCCCAGCATCCCTCCCACCCCCCGCCCCCCCCAATATGGAGTTTTTATGGAACTAATTCCTACCCAGCACTAAAAGGTGAAAGGCATATGGGTCTTGCAAAAATCTCAGAAAATCCAGAGCATTTTGCATCACATCTACGTTACTTATTAATATACCACTTTTAGTTAACATTAATTTACTAGTACTTTTTAGTTATGGTTTCATTTTTTGGGCATCCCCTGGTATGCTCAATGTTACTCATGGCTCTGCATTCAGGAATTACTCCTGGCGGGGCATGGGGGACCGTATAGGGTGGCAGGGATCAAACCCAGGTCTGCCGCGTGCAAGGCAAGAGCACAATCCACTGTTCTAGCTCTTCAAACCTGCTAATACTTTATTTTTCTTCAGGAATCCATACTATACATACTGATGATCACAATATATACCCTAATTTACATAAATATTTTTATTATATATACCGTGATACACAAAATTTTAAATAACAGAGCTTCCAGCCATGTTCCAACTCCAAACCTACCACCAACAAAACACGACAGAAAATAACATTGAAAAACTGGATATGACAGAATTTAAAGCACAAAAATCTTAAAAGTCAGATATTAATTTGTTAATAAAAATGTCCCTCTAAACTTAAAGTTTATTGAAATGTGTGTATACATATATAGACATATGTACATGTCAATATGCTATATGTATGATTCTATAGTAGTGAGAATTAGCATCTCCATCATGTCACATCATTTTTATTTCTGTGTGTATGTGCTGTGAATAATCATGATTTGTCATTTCTTAGATCAAGATGCCAAAAGGATGAGGCTTCATCCAGACCTTGCTCAGCTACTGGCTGCGTTTATTCCTTTTGCTCCTTAAGGAACGCCCTAATACGCAAAGCCTCTGGGTCAGCTTTATTTTGAGAAAACCTATTTTGGGCTATTTTTTCCAGATGGGTTTTCATCTTATTTTTCTCCCATGAGTTATAGTCTATTTTCATACCTTCCATATAATGGTGGATAGCCTTTTCAGTTTTCTCGTTCGCCAGCTGAACATTGCCATAATGCAGATGGAATCTTTGCTTAGCTGCAGGAGTTAGTGCTCTACTGTATTCCTCTTGGAAGTAACGCTCTGCTTTCTCGTGCTCACCCACTTGGGAATAGAGTTCACCAAGGTAAAGGCAGACCCAGGGGAGATTTTCATCCTTCTCGTAAGCTGTCTTTAGTTCATTTATAGCTTTTTCAATTAATTCATTTAGCTCATCCCTTGACATCATCTTTGACTTCCGGAGGACTTCTCCCCGATAGATGTATCCTCTATAGTAATGCTGGCTGGCGAGACTCTTCGCAGAACCGCCTTGCCTTTCATAAAACTTCTCTGCAGCCTGACGCACTTCAGGGTCATTTGGAGCGTCCCTCAAGGCCTCTTCAACTAAGCTCTTTCCTTCATCTCCTTCTCTCTTCCTTTGAAGTGTCAAAGCCAAAAGAACTTTAAGGTAGTGGTTATCAGGATTCAGTTCAATGGCTTTGTGCAGAGGGTCAGTGACATTCACAGGCATCTGATTTTCCCTCACACGGTATGCCGCAATGGCCAGTCCACTGGTAAATTCAGGATCACGTGGGTGTTTTTCCAGCGCCTTCTCAAAGCACACCATGCCTCTGTCAGTTTGGAGTCCTCCACACTTTAGCCGTGCCCACCCTTCCTCATTGTCGAGCCCAGGACACTCAATTCTATAGGGACTAGAGAACTTCTCACACACCCGTTTCACCTTGTCAACATAATCCTGAGCTTCTGGGAGTCTGCCCAGGTGATAGTAGACCCAGGCATAGTTTCCCCAGGTCACCAGGTTCCTGACTTCCGCCTGGTCAGAGTGCTCTTGCTGAATTGACTCTTCAGCTTGCCGTAAGTATTCCAGGGCAGCGTCGTCCTGACCACGTAAGTGTTTTATGTAGGCCAACATGTTGTACATTGTGCCTTTGGACTTGGGGTTTGAAAATTCAATCTGCTCACACATTTCCTTTTCCAGGTCCTCTGAGATATCTTTTTTCTTAAATAAGTTCCATGTGAAATGGCATTTCAGCTGGGAAAGGATTTGCTCCAGAGAACTGTTGGTCTCACTGTGAAGAAAATAAACAGGATCACTGTGATGGGGCTTGCCAAGCAAAGCAGCCTGCAGTGCAATTTCAAATTAATTTGGTGTCAGCTGGGCTGGGCCATGTGTTGCCCTAGATAACTAGTTAAGCAGTTGTTCTTGTGGGTTTTCCCAAGAAAGAATTAGCATTTGCATTCATAGAGCCAGGAGTAAACCCTGAGCCCTGGAGGATGTGGGTCAAAGGTGAAACAAACAAACAAAAAATAAATGGGAAAATCGCCCTTTGTAAGAACTGTTTCTTCCTATTTCCTACCTTGAAGTAATCAAATGTTTCAGGAAAAATCTCCCCACAGTGTGAGCTGGATTTGCACTCCCAATAAACATCATTGGGTTTTCTTTGTGGGGGAGGGTGGAAGCCACACCTGGCCGTTCTCAAGGCTCACTCCTAGCTCTGCCCAGTATTGGGGGATCCTATGGGGTGTCAGGGATCAAACCCAAGTCAGCCGTATGCAAGGCTACTGCCCTACCCATTGTCCTCCAGCCCCTGGGAATAGTTGTCTTTATTTTTTTTTATTAGTGACAAACCAAGAGGTACAGTTGTAGACTTACAAATTTTTGTGCTTGGGTTTCAATTATACAATGATTAATTACCCATCCCTCCACCAGTGCCCATTTTCCACCACCATGGATCCCAGTATCCCTTCCACCCCCCATTCCCCCCCATCCCACCCTGCCTTTGTGGCAGGGCATTCCCTTTTGTTCTCTCTCTCCTTTTGGGTGCTGTGGTTTGCGAAAGTGGCAATCATGTTCGGTCTATACTTTCAGCATGCTTCTCCCATCCTGGGAGGATCCTCCCAACACCCTTTATTTGGTGCTCCCTTCTCTATCTGAGCTGCCTTTTCCCCTAGCATGTGTGACTGGCCTCCAAACCATGGAGTAAACCTCCTGGTACTTACCTCGGCTGTTCTTGGGTGTCAGTCTCCTATTTTGTTACTTTATGTTCCCCAGATGAATGCAATCTTTCTATATCTATCCCTCTCTTTCTGACTCATTTCGCTTAGCATGATGCTTTCCATGTAGTACCACTTGTATATAGGAATAGTTGTCTTTAGACTAACTTCAATCTATCAAACTCTGTGCCATTCCTCCAAGTCTTTCGCATCCCAGCTCCCAGCTGTTCTCAGTGAAGAGTTCTAGATGTTCTGGGACTCTGAGAGATGTACATCAGAAATAAGCACAGGAATACACTTCCCAAACCGATAAACACACATTCATTCCATAAGCCAACTCAGAGACTTGCCAGCACCACAAAAGACCATCTTATACCTTACATTCTAGATCAAGCTCTATATGGACTTTTATGTTACTGACCTCATGATGGCAGTTGCTTCTGTTGGGAAGAAGGGTGCCAAGCTGATTCTTCTTTGGAAATTCTGAGACAGGTCAAGCACATACTGAAGGAGCAATATAAAGGGGAGAGGGCAGTGTCCAAGAGTATCAGGTGATACTCTTTATCTCTCTGAATAGCTGCCCACGTAAAGGAAAGAGGAAGTAGAAAGTGAAATTAGATTATGACCAAGAGAAAGAAAAGAAAACCTAAGACTTATTAAAGGTGATTCAGTTGAACTAAAGGTCTAAATGAGTCCAAAGTAGAAGTTGACAGTAAACTAATCATCTCCTAGAAACCAGTGACGATCTCAAGCACTAAGGGTGGGGGACGGGGATGGGGTGGGTGGTGTCACACTCAGTGGTGCTCAGGGACCACTCTGGACAGGACTGGGGACCATATGCAGTGGTGGGTATCAAACCTAGCGGTTGTGTGTAAGGTAAGTATCTTGCCTGCTATACTGTCTCTCTCTCTCTGATCCTATACTTTGAGTTTTGAAAGAACAGTATTATCCTGAGAGATTTTTCTTAATAAAACTTTGTCCTGATGTGAATATCCATAAAAGCCTAGATAGTATAATTCTCATGACTGATTTGATGTGAGGGAATTGTCAGATGGGGAAGATTTCCCTCCGTTCAAAGAGTACAGGTACCTGTGTACTATAACTGAGACATGTTTTTCCCAACAGCAGGTAGTCTCATAAGATACAGTGAGTCCAGAGATTGTTGTTTTATGAAGTAAAAGTAACTTGCAACCTGCTGTGAAAAGTAACAGAATTAGAGTTGTATTAAAATAGGACCCAATCACCATGCAGTACTGGCATCAACTTGGGGTCCCAGAGATGTTAGCATTCTCAACCAACTCAAGTTATTTTTCCCATCCTAAAAATTTAAAAAATAGAACTAAAATGAATAATATTTAAATAAGATCCAAATTTGCGTCACTTACATTGGTGGTGCTCATGGTATAGTAACTTTGTGTAAACTTTAACACTATTATAAACCATGCTACTTCAATCATCCTAAAATATAATTAAAATAAAATAGGACCTGTTTGATCCCCAGGGTTGGGGGGTAGCAATTACACATAGGTGTGGTTGTACAATCAATCAACAGTTGTAAAGCCCTTCCCTCAGGGGAAGCTTCTTCTAGGACAAATTCACATCCAGGTAGGCAAGCCGCCTAAGAGCGAATACCATCTAGGGGAATATTTCTCCTTTCCTTAGTCTATATCCATTTAAATAGTCATCTTAAATTTACTTCTTAATAATATTAGTCATTTTGTATGGACATAGTAAGAGATAAATTACACTTAAAGAGTGGCTCTCCTGGGGACATCTCACTATAGATTCCAGACTACAATCCTCTTTCCTAACCCCAGCAGGGCCCTTATCCAGTTACTTCTTTTTGAGTCATGACAGAGTTTGTCCATGACCATGCTCTTAATTTATTTATAATTTTTATGGTGCTAGGCCTCTCCCTTTTTGATGCTAGGATTCCTCACAGCATTCCCAGGGTCTCTCTAAATCCTTTTGTCAGAACCCTCCTTTTGGGGTGTTACGAATAAGGGCAACTGAGGCTTAACTCGAATAAATATGACAGATGCCCAGGAGTCAATTAAATCCCAAGTTACAAAAGCATAGCATTAACTGTCTTCCTGTGTCTATACAAAAAGGACACTGCTCTAAAGTTAAACTATGTAAAGGACATAAGGGAAAGAGAAAAGCGATATTTCATTTGTATATACAAAAAAGGGCTGGAGCGATAACACAGCGGGTAGGGGGTCTGCCTTGCACGCAGCCAACATGGCCGACCCGAGTTCGATTCCTCCGCCCCTCTCGGAGAGCCCGGCAAGCTACCGAGAGTATTCGATATGCCAGACACAGTAACAACAAAGTCTCCAATGGAGACGTTACTGGGCCCGCTCGAGCAAATCGACGATCAACGGGAGGGCCTTTACTTACTTACTTACTATATACAAAAATGCACAGTCCTTAGAAGAATCTGACTTTACAAGTCACAGGGTCCAATCTGGGATATAGTGATTAACAAAAAGGAGAAGCAGAGCACAAAAGAGAAGTTAAACACAGAGGAATGGGAGTGTCTTGGGAGCACTGTGATGAGTGTATCTCGATAAACCTAAGCTCCTTCTGGTAAGGGAGGGAGAAAGGACAAACCAATGTTATCTAACACTGGGTGAAACCATAAGTCCATAAAATAGACCTGTTTGAAAGGATCAATAGAGAATCTTTATCTGCTGGTACTTCGTGGCTCCTCCACTGACTGAATGACTTTTGCCTTGTGACTCCCATGTCTAATCCTTATTTCATCATCCAATACCTTGTTCTTTCTCCCACTCTAAGAACTCCCAGATATTGATCCCTTGGTTTCTCCTCAGGACTTGTTTATGGTTTCTACCTAAAATTGTGTAGTCCAAATTGCAGTTCTGTAGCACATTTCTATTTATATGCCAACCTACTGTTTTTCTTTGAAAGAAAAAGTCTGTTTGTTTTTTGTGTCACACCCAGCAATGTTCAGGAGTTTCTCCTGGCTCATGCACTCAGGAATTACTCCTGGCAGTGCTCGGAGGACCATATGGAATGATGGGATGCTGGGAACTGAACCCCGGTTGACCGCGTGCAAGGCAAATACCCTACCCACTGTGCTATTGCTCCTTCCCCTGGGTCTGTGTCCTTAGAGGAAGACCCTATCAGGCCCTGCTAAATTCTGAGAAATAGAAACACAGCCTGCACATTGCATGACTAGAGAAACAGACATCTGTAAACATTTCGAAAGCTTTCATGTTCTTTCTTTAAAACACCAGGTAGTCACGCAGACTAACAGAAAAAATACATTGTTTCAGGAAGAGAGGACAGGGAAATTAGAGTTGGGCAATGTGTGGTCTGCAGGAGCACTTCCCCCAAAGCCATCTTTCACGGAACCGCCTGCTGAGTAAACATCTCTCTCCCCACTCTGCCTCCCTGCCTTGCTCCTCTCAACCCTCGGGTCTCAGCTTCCTGGTGAGAGATGCCCTTTGGGAACTGGACTGTGCAAAGCAGAAATAACAGGCTTGTAAACATGGCAACGCTGGCCAGCGCTGTAGCACCTGCAGCAATCAATAACAGAATAAGGCTACAAAGACACAGTGAAAGGAAAACAATTCAGAACCTGCCGCCATTCAGAGTGCAGCCACTTAGAGTTTATTGCTGACAAGACCCTTTTCAACATGACCTGAGAAGGGAGACGATTTAGCTCCTAGTCGCTGTGCTTACCGTTTTGAAAGGCAGCTTCTGTACTCTTCAGCACTCTTCCTTCTCAGCCTTAAGCAGATGGGGTGTGTCGGGGGTGGGGGGCGCAGGCTGCAATGTGTAGACAACCATCAACCCATAAATATGACAAACTTGGGAAATTTTTTTGATGGGGGCACACCTGATTGTGCTCAGGGCTTGCTCCTCTGCACTCAGGGATCACTCCTGGTGGGTCTCAGGGGACCATGTGGGATGGTGAGAATTGCCCTTTGGGAACTGTGCAAGGCAAGGGCCATCCCTGCTGTACTCTTGCTGTGGCCCATAGTGTTAAAAAGATTTCTCTCTCGGGGCTGGAGAGATAGCATGGCGGGTAGGGCATTTGCCTTACACGCAGCCGACCCAGGTTCGATTCCCAGCATCCCATATGGTCCCCTGAGCACCGCCAGGAGTGATTTCTGAGTGCAGAGCCAGGAGTAACCCCTGTGCATAGCCGGGTGTGACCCAAAAAGCAAAATAAATAAATAAAAATAAAGATAAAAAAAAAAAAGATTTCTCTCTGGATGCGAGCACCACTGTCTGCTTTGTGGGATTTTACCAGCTCTAGACTTTAGGGAACAGAATTGAAACTACAAAGTGAAGCTAACAGGGTTCTGGAGAAAACAGAACTTGAACAAGAGCAAAGCTGCCAAGCCATGAATCACAACTTTCTATAAGGAAGTTAGACGGATTTCTTAACAAGCTGATATTCAGGGAGCACAGCTCAGAGAAGTGCCCCTGGACAAGGTTCTACCTCATTGCTGCAGTGTCTGTTCAGGAAATCATATATATATATATATATATATATATATATATATATATATAATCTCGCCTGCACAGCAAAGCCTGGCAAGCTACCCATGACGTATTCAATATCCCAAGCACAGTAACAACAAGTCTCAAAAATTAAAAAAAATAAAAATAAATTAAAAAAAAAAAAACAGGACTGGAGTGATAGCACAGCCGGTAGGGCATTTGCCTTGCATGTGCTGACCTGGGTTCAATTCCCAGCATCCCATAAGGTCCCCTGAACACCTCCAGGAGTAATTCCTGAGTGCAGAGCCAAGAGTAATGTCTGTGCATCGCCAGGTATGATCCAAAAAGCAAAAAAAAAAAAATAAAAACCCCAAAAAACCACACATGAACCAAATGAAGAAAAATTAGCTTTTAGACTAATTATAAAAACAAATTCATATCTATCAGGAGGAAAGAGGGAGGCAATTGAGAAAATCAAGGTGAAGGGGATCAGTGAAATGGTGAAAGACGAAATTGACTTTCTAATTTACTTGTTTTTCTTGGGAGGACAAACATGGTGGTGCTCCGAAGCTACTCCCTGCACTGTGCTGGTGATGCTTAGTGCACCATGTGGGGGGAATTGAACCCAGGCCCCCCACATGCAAACCAAACACTCGGCTCGTTGAGCTACCTCCTGTCCCTGGTATTGACTTTTATTAGTGAAAGAGGAAGCCTCAGTTTACCCTTGCCAGCTGCTGTGAGCAGTCTCATCTTTAGATCTGTTCCCCATTCTACACTTTTGACTTTCTGCGAATTCCTAGGCTCTTTCTGATAAACAGGGAATTAACAGTTGTCCGTCATAAAATTCTGCCCAAACCTTAGGCTCATAGGGAGACTAAGATATGAACAATTCCTGAGGCAAATGGCCAGAAAGACTCAAACCAGCTAGATCATTCTAACTTCCTGCATTCTCTGTGACACAAAGATCTAGTTTTTCTATAAAAAAAAAAAACCATAAAATGGGGGCTAGAGTGATA